TTTGTGGTCCTTGCTATCTTATCAACATTTTCATTTTTTTCTACCTAAATTTATATTCATTACAAATTTAACTAAACACAACTGACTGTTAAAGGATGAAAAATTTACGCGGATTTCGCTTTTTTCCGTCCAAATCCGTGAATTTACTTTGCTTATGCTAAGTCTCGAAAAAAACACTATATAAAATTCCTTAGTTTTTATTCATAATATTAAAATTATTTTACTTTTTAACAAGAAAAATCTTAAGTTGATGTTAGAAATTGCCGCAAGGCATTGTTTATTTATTTAAGATGGAATAATTTATGACACGTATCTAGTTTGTATTTAGTTTAGATACATTGTATTTATTTTCAATTTTTCTAGTTGAATTGTTCACTTATATTGCATATGATCCATTATTATATATAATTAAGTTACAATACAAATTTGTATCTTATATGAATACTATGAAAATTTATGAAAATTGAGATGTCGTGGAGTTGGGCCGTATCCTAGATTGGGAGGTGTATCATAGATGGTGGGGGCACGAGACCCTTGTACCGGCACTTATTATTATTATTATTATTATTATTATTATTCAGAGTATTATGTTAAGAAGAATAAGAAAACAATATGTGAAACAAAAACCATGCAAATTGACATATAACCGGTTATACACATGCGCAGATCCTCAACAAAGCTCGCATCATGATTCCCTGTTATGTTTCTTTGTTAATTATTTTAAAATCAGATTAAAAGTAAATAAATTTGGATATTATGTGTTTTACAATACTTTGTCTCGTTTTACAATTTGTGACTAAATAAATCTTTTTAACTGTCGAATTTGATTAAAGGAAGTAATTAATTCAATAAATATTAATAAGTGCAGGGTTAATTCGATCAAAAATTAATTTTGAGGTAAATTCAAGTCTAGAATAATCAGAACTTTCACTGTTATTGCCATTATTGTGCTTAATGTTACGACTACAATAAGATAACGTATTATCTTGACCACTTTACACTTTTCTCTGTTTAATTAAATAATAATGACAATAAATAATACTAAATGACATCCATTATTATTAATTTGATTATTAGCTTTTAACTTATTACTTATATCTTAAATTATTACTTAACATAAATACTAGTCAAAAATTAATAATAGCTGACAAGTTTCATCTAATAAAAATGAAAACTTAATATTAATAAAAATTAATAATGATAGACAGTGCTTAATAAAAAATAAAATAAATGATACATCTGACATCATAGTCACTACTACGGCTTAATTTCTCTTCTTTTTTTTAGATAATGAACTAATTATTATTAATAATGACCTAACCCATTTTTCGGAACTAGCTTCACATGATAACTTTTCATTCAGTTTTGATTATTATTCTTTCTATATGTTAAAACGATGCTATTGAACTTCTTTAATATAATCTGTTAGTTGCCAATTTATTTTTCTGCTATAAGTTTTACTTTCCAAACTCGATTTAAATTGATTGTCCATTACATTCTAATTCTCATCACATCTACACAAGTGTAAAGTGAATGACTGTGAGTTACAATGTGATTGTCCACGACATTACCGACTATCTGAACTAACAATACAGGATTAAATTGCGTTAGATTCCTTAAAAATAAACTATAAACAAAAATATATATATATTTAAAAAAAAGCCACCAACTGATAACTATATTTGTTTTAGCTATTTTAATTATACAACTTAGCAAAAATTCTTACAGCACCAATAATTGTATTTCAAGATCAAATAAAGCAAACATTTAAGTATTCGTTGCAAAATACACGTCAGCTGTGATGAGAAACTAATTCATCATCATAGCTATATTCTGCTAAATAGAACATGTTTTCTTTTGCTTGGAAGTGGAAAGAATGTATTCTTATTTTTTCAACCAAGTTGATTAATAAAATAAAAAATATAATGAAATTAATTAGACTCACAACCACTTTTTAAAAAGACTATTTTTCTTGTAATATTTCTTTCTTTCTGTCTCCTTCGTGGCAAAAACTAAGAATATTGATTGACGGATATTATTTGACTAGGTAAAAATAAATATGGGTTGGAGGGCAGAAGCATTTGTAATGTGTATATATATATATATATATATATATATATATATATATATATATATATATATATATATATATATATATATATATATATATACTACAGTTCAAAAGTTTGAAGCCACCCTGGTATTTTTTAAGATTGTGTGTGATTAAATGAGGAGCTAGTAAAAAAATTTTTTTCTTAATACACGTTTTCAACTCACGTACACACACATACACATATATATTGTATATTTGGACAGAAAACATTCTTTTAAACATATTTCATTAAATTTAAATATGACAGAAACGGAAATTTTTTTATTAATCTTGCCTAATGTTCTGACATTTTTCATTTTGGTGGCTGGTGGGGGTCTGTGAGCTAAGAGAGTACAGATACTGCCTGAAGGGATTTCGTTGTTAATGTTATCAATTTTTAGGTTCAAAGTTGTATTGTGTTGAAGTAGACTAGATTCTAAGATTTGCGAGAATAAACGTGGTTGTAATTTCATGTTGAGGTATCTTTTAAAAGACCTCCAACACGTTACTACCATTATAAATTAAGATAAGGTTCAGCCTTGGTTTCAATTCTTTTATATAAAGAGCCTCTATAATCATAAGACGTCGATAATTATGACATTTTCTTTAGAATGATGACGTTATCAAGAAGAACTTTTCTTATGGCTGCATGCAATATTTTGTTGGTGTCTAGATGCTTTTTATGGCACTGAGATCCTTAAGTGTTTTGTCAGTCTTCGACTGATAGTTGTCGTCGTAAGAAATGTAGATAATCGGTTTATGACAAGAGTCTTGTACTGGGAAATAGAATTTATAAATTATTAATAATATATATTTATATATAACTATATAATTTCTAACTACATTAGAGGTTTTTAGTTTCGAATTGATTTTCTTAACCCCAAAGAAAAAATATAAGAACATTAGAAAAACTTAATAATAAAATTTATAAAATTTTCTTTATTTGTCATATTCAATGAAACACACACATGCACACACACACAAACGCACACGCAGATATATATATATAATGTATGTGCGTGTAAATTTTATAATAATTTATAACGGTTCAAAGTCTAAAGATAATAAATTTGAATTTTTATTTATATATGAGAAATCAAGTATGCTCAAGCTATTTTAAAAAATCTCATATCATAACAGACTTTTATTTTAAAACGTTTTCAGTGGCATTAGTAGCAAGACAAACAGCAGCAATAACACTAACATCAAAATCGATCCCAAATTTTAAAGTTGTTAATAAAAACAGCTTTTGGTTAAATCCATCCTTTTAAAAACAATAACATTTTCGTTGGAGAAAGGTTTTTGCAAGAAGACACATGTAACTATTTACCTTGTTAGTCAAATTCATTTTTGGACATCTACTAAATTTATCTTTATCCAGCCATAAAAGCGAGTCATCCCATGATGATCGAAATTGTATGTCACTAGTGTGTGTGTGTGTGTGTGTGTGTGTGTAGACCATAAACTCATTACAACAGAAACTGTTCTAATGAGACAACGATAACAAGCGTTTACAAATTCATTTGCTCATCTTATGAATACAATATAAAAGTTTAGAAACATTAGAATTGTTAATTCTGTTGAAAGTTTTTCTTAATTATCTTGAACGATGTGAGATGTTTCAAATTATGCATAAAATACTTTCCTAACAGCTTTATTATTTTCTTGTAATTCAGTAATTCATTTTTAGGGAGGGTTTATTAAACTGATATTTGCTAAAGGCAAAATGCGAATTTTTCTTTGAATATTCGACGAAATTTACAAAAAGCGAATCAACTTTAAAAATACTGAGTCCCGTTTTATTTTTCCAGGCAGGTCATCATGACCAATGAAGTCATCAACTTTTGCAAACAAAATTCTAGTCACATCTTGGTAAAAATACGTTTTTATATGTAGTTGAGTACAAGATTTTATTGTATTAAGCAATACTTTTTTTTTTTTTTTTTTTAATAAAAATCTGTTTGGGTTTATGATTGGATATCATCTTATTAGTCAAGTGTCAAGTTTTTTTTTACATTAGATTTTAATAGCCCTTATTCACATATACAAGGTTTCAACTCTAAAATTGAAGGTTGTTTTATAGTACATAGACTCCTATATTATGATGATGCGCCAAATGGAATTCCATATGAGAATTTTTTCTTAAATTATAACAAAAATGATCGAAGATTCTGTATATTTCTTTGTCATCTGCTGCTACTGGAAAGCATCAATAGAGACGTTTCTCTTGAACATGAAAATAACCAAGAGCTTTGTGACACTGTCGTATTTATCGCCCAAATATAAAATTGGAAATGACAGTAACCAATTATTCCCAAGATAAATACATATACAAATATTGGAGAACATTAATCAATTGCGGGTTCTATTATCTCGGTGATAGTTTGGAATCTAATTTGTAAGCACCTTTATTCCTGCAGTTGACGTCTGTTCATCTCTACTTATATTGAACTACATCCTTATCTACTTATTCTTGACTATGATACTAAATATTTGTACTTTGATGTCCTTTCGTGCCGCCGTCAAAGTACAACGATAATTGTATATTTGAGAAGAAGTTCATATTTGTTATTGTTATTAAATAAACTTTCTAAAATCCCCCTTAAATGTCACTTAAAACCAACTCACAAAGCAATTTTTTGCTGAAAGAATCTTTCAATAAAATTACAAGTTAGAAACTAACCTCTAAGGAAAATGGTCATTTTTGAGATTATGTATTATCAAATATTACCAACCGGCTACCAGACCTTTCTTTTTTTATTTATTTATTTTTTTTTAAAGATGGTTTGTTTTCAATAAATTCTGTTGAGTATTAAACATTTGTAATGATTCCTTTTTTTTTTTTTCGTTTATTTCTGATTTTTCATTCCTTCTTTCTTCAAGAGTCCGCCATATCTAATTTATTTCTTCAAAATCTGGCTACCGGTGGCCGGGGAGGTTTTGGTGCTATTGGTGGTTTAGGGTATTTGGGTGGAGCATCATCATCACTGATGTCAACCGTGTCATCTTCGGGTTCATCTAGTTTCGATTTGTCATAGAAATAGTCATCAGAGCTTTCAGTACCTGGGAAAGAAAAGATAGAAAAGTTAAAAAAGAAAAGAAAAGAAAAAAAAAAACAACAAAAAACAAATATCGGAAAGAAGGAAGGAGAAAAGAGAATGAGAAAGAGGGAAACAAAACATAATAAAAGAAGTAAAGGATGAAAAAAAAGAAAATATTAAGAAAGATGAAGAGAAAGACAACGTGGAAAAAGATTGGGAGAGAGAAAAAAGTATAAAAAGAGAGGAAAAAAAAACAAAAAATACAGAAACGTCAGGTGAAGATAATAATTATTGTTGAATAAAGCAAATATTCTGAGAAACTCATTTAATGTATGTAATGATATTTTGAATAATTACTCTGATATGATTGCTTTACAAACAAATATTTTGTGTGCAAAAACTTCTGGATTTTTTTCAAATTTCTTTTATTTAATGAAGTGCTATCGAAACGTTAGTGGAGTTTGACCAAGGCGTTTGAACTTTTGCTGTTACACTTTTATTTCAACTTTAATGATGAGACCTAGCTGCGCTTAAATTTGTAAAGTCTAGGTACGAAAGAGAAAAGCTTGTCAGAACAATTCCCATGAAAACATTTGTAGAAAAGGCATAGGAAATCTACTTTACGGCGGTGGGAAAGTGTCTGAGGTCGAGATACCATGTCAGGACGGATAATTTTGAAGATTCTTCTTTGGATTTTATCAAGAAACTCTAAATACAAAGCAGAAGCAACAGAGCAGATGTGGCAGCAATATTCAATGCATAGACAAATAGAATAATTCTGGAGCGAAATGGAAATAGATACCAAGACAGTCAACCATCAAATGACAAAAAATAGTTTCTGGTTCGGAGGATCGGCGCATCCTTCCGGCTAATAGATTGATCCTTTGAAAATAAATATTTTACATTTTTCAACCAATGGATCGCCTGCAATAAAGAACATACTTCGTGATCCCTTTGAAGAGTAAATTTTCTAGACGGAAAAAACCAGTAAGAAGAAGAGACGGATACATGCGGCTTCAAAGATATTCTCTAATTCATTCATCCGTCTTTTTCACTAAGCTACATGACACCTACACTCTTCCTCACCGAGCTACGAGATACCGTTACCTCCTCACTTTTTCCCTTTTCACATATACACGTAGACAAATCACATTTATCTTCTTCTTAACAACTAGAAACAAGGACTTTAACACATGTACATCTGAGAAAAATCTAGTTAAAATACACGAAAATAAAAATATTTTATATTTTTTTTATTTTAAAAACCTTTCTCGCTTTTTTCTTTGTTGTGGGTTGATTCAAATCCGCAGCAGACTTATAAATGTGTACGATAGATTCTGGAGAAAAATCATTTCGCACGACATAATGAACTATCTTTCTTAGTATCAGACCTAGCAATTGATTCAATATAATCTTTTAACTTCATGTCAGCGAGAAACGTTAGCCAGAGAAGCTGCAAGAAGTCACTCTCTTGAAGGTTAGCATCAGCCATGCTGATGGAAGGCAAAAATATTTTTTCAGACGATTAAAAGAGAGCAATTTCGTTTTGGAGTCGTTAAAATTAACAAAACATTTATTGCCCCAGTTAATTTCTGGGTTCAGCTGCCAATTTTATTGGGCAGATCAAACTTGCCGTTAAGAGTAAATAGTTGTGTCATCAGCACAGATACCGAGTTGAGAACTGATGACACCGGGAAGATCGTTAATGCAAACTAGGAACAACATAGGTCCAAGGATAGAGCCCCGAGGGACACCCGAATTAATGCAAAAATATCTAGGAGAGTGGTAATATTTATTTCGCATTTTGTTAAGAAACATTGAATCAGATTAAAAAATCGTCTAGAAATAACATAGCGCCTCAATTTATGAAGAGCAGCATGCCAAACACTGTCAAACACCTTCGAGATGTCCAAAGCAACAGTTAAAGTTTCATCATTCTTACTCTAAAGTTTTACAAACTCTTCTAGCAATAACCATTAACACATTAGAAATTAGAAAAGCGAAAGCCATATTGCTTGTCTGAAATAAAAAAAAAAACCCTGCGAGATGAGATTCTTCGGAGTTGATTAGCAAAATGAGGTAGAAGGCTAATAGGCCGATAATTAGAAGGATCAGTCGGTTCGTCTGAGTTTTTCAAAAAACTTGAACTACAGAATAAGTTTTCCAACAAGCCGGAAATTAAGAAGCAACAAGTCATTTATTGTATAGTTTAGAGAGAACAGGAGTCAGTTAAGGAACACGTTTTTGAAAGAATTTTGCAGGGATACCATCAAGTCCATATGCTGTGAGGGAAATCCAGTTTAGAGATAATAGCAGAAACCATATGCATATATATATATGCATATCACAGTAGAAACTCAGTTCCAAATGGAACGTCAGGTGAAGATAATCCAGATGAGTCAAACGTACAATTAGAAGAAAACTTACGAGAAAAACATTCTACTTTATCAGCAGAAGATGATAACATTTACTTGTTAAATATGTTCAAAACATTACACTCGCGATGCTTTGAAGAGAAATATAAAAGAACAAAATAAAATAAGCAATAACAATAACTAGAAAAAGCCACCCCGCGCTTTGTAATACATAATCCAGTTAGTAACTAAAAAAAAAAAAAAAAAAGCAAGAAAGAAAGAAAGAAAGAAAAAATATGCTGGCTATTTTTTGGAACAAAAGAAAAGTTGCCGATCGTGCGAATTTTTTTTTTTTTTTTTTGCTTCGTTTATAAGTTAGGAGATGTTTTCAGGACATCGCTCCGGTTATGCAATAAAATTTTATTTTGGCGTTGTTATTAATTAGTAAAAGAGTGAAGACTATATTGTAACTAGTAATGATCAGGATAGCGTTACACACGTGATCAGGATGGTGTTACACGTGATCAGGATGGTGTTACACGTGATCAGGATGGTGTTACACGTGCCTTATGGCGACATTTTATTTGGTAAAATTATTTTTAACAAAATAAAAAAAAAATGAACCGATGAGAATTCGGACTGATTGCTTGAAATCAATTCCTTTTCTCCTGATAAGACAGCCACCCATAAGATTGACTAATGCAATTTTCGAAAGTCTTTTGAAGGTAACTTTGACGCTTACTATCATGTGGGAGAACAACTTTGACTGGTATCGCAAATCCTGTGTCCACAATGTTACTCAACATTTTCTTCTCAATTTGTTTGTTGTCCACTTTGTTTTGGTCGGCGTTCCCAGCAGCTGAAATACCTGACAAAAAATAAGAGTTCATGTCAATAGATTAGGTTGACGGAAAATTTTCTAGTATTTTTGAAACACTTATTTTATTCCTATAAATTCGTGGCATCATTATTCTGTCACCAAAAGTTTTTCCATTTGCTTTTTATGACTCCAGGCCACCATTAAACCGAAATTATGTATTTTATCATGGAAGAACGATTTCAGTTTTAATATGATGAATTTCTCGATAGATCTTTTGAAGTTGTTGGAACTGACAGACGGTGAATGTTGTACGAAGGTTAAGTATTTGGAATCAAGCAGAAGATCTTCCCATCCCAGTTCCATGATTGTGTAATGCGTCGTATTTGCAATCCGAGTACTGGCGTAATCTCTGCTCAAATCCTTTGTCTAGAAAAAAGGGTCATTCAAACAAGCCGTGTTGAGTAGTACATGTTCCTGCAATAAATAATTTCCATTACTATTCACAAAGAAGAACACTTTTTCCCCCAATAACTTTCCTTCCAACTGTGACGTTATAGATTATTATGGACCTAGCCACAATTTTCTTCATTTTGGATTCTCGTATTAAATCTATTTGTCCATAGCCAGCGACAATCATGCCTAAAAATGACCTTCTTTGTGTTGAGCAAGAACAGAAAGACAAGTACTTAAATAATATTTGTTTCCTTAAATTAACACTTTAGTACCCATTGTTCCATTAGTGGAAGATATTTGAAAACATATTTATTGATACCGGATACGCATCAATTTTGATTGTTTTATTTTATCGATAATTTTACTTAAGACCGTGTTAAATTACAATTAATGCTCGTCTGATATCAAAAGCTATGGCTGAAAATGTTTCTCTAGAGGAACAATGAGCACTAAAAGGCTAATGTGTAAAACATTTTCTCAGTTTAAGAATTTTAGACTAGGACTGACGGATTACAGACGCAAAAGGGTTGAATAAACTTCAAAGGCATTTCTTAGATTTCTATAACATTGTCGAAAAGAAAGTGTTAGAAACTTAATATATTACCATTATCTTTATGACTACATTAACTAACACTTATAAATAATAACAATAATAGTACAGTTTATATATATATATATATATATATATATATATATATATATATATATATATATATATATATGCAAATATATAGCAAAAATATAAAAAAAGAACACGTTAGGTTAATAATCCGAAGTACTTTAGTATTTTGTTTTTATTTAAAAAAACAGAGCCTAAATTATAATTATTTAAAAAAAAAATATGATTCTATCGCCACATAAGAGCTCTCATGTTTCAAAAACAGGAGCTAAAAACTTCAATTTAATTATAAAAATTAAATTGAATTAAAGTATCAAACTATGTTTCATCTTCAAACGAAATTTTTGGAATAACTAATCTTGAAATTTACGAAGCATATTCATTCGTAATATTAATTAATATGGAAACGACTGACACAATTGTTTCAATAAGGGGCGAAAGGGTTAACATATTGTATCAACATATTAGTTACTTTCGGAAAGAGGCCAAGTCAAGGTAGAGTCAGGGTGTCTATTTTAAAGCGAATGATGACATTCATTAGACGCATATCGTCTAGTCTGTTTCAGTGACAAAGAGTTATTGGCATTATACATTCACGAGACACTTACGAGAAATTTTCGCAACACTTCCGATCTTTGAATTTCAACATACAAATACGTACAGAGACAACAGCACACACATACATACATATGTCAAGTCCCATACTGTCCACATATGTTTATGTCTGTATGAGCCCCGGCGGACAAGCAAGTGTGTATGTGTTTCTGCGTACCTCATCGGGTGTACGGACATGCATCTATGTTTCCGTTAGCATGAGTGACATCACGACGACGATTCCCCACCCCCACTTCCATAATAACACCAATACACGCAATCTACATAAATCCAAAATTTAAAAAAATAATCAGTTTGTCTGACGATCGCAAAAGCGTGAAACCCAGGGTCACAAACTCACATCGATTCAACCAAATATATATATATATATATATATATATATATATATATATATAGAGAGAGAGAGAGAGAGAGAGACAGACAGACAGACAGACAGACAGACAGACAGAGACAGGGAGATAAACATAGAGATAGAGACATAGATAAATAAAAAGTTCCATAGACATATTTCCGTCAGTAAGTTTCGCAGATATACCGCTCAATCTAGTATGATAAGGCACTATTAACTATTGTCACTCTATTTTATAATATTGATCATTTTATCACACACACACACACACACACACACACACACACACACACACACACACACACACACATATATATATATAGAGAGAGATTAGTAATATTAGTGGTAAATATACACATACATATGCAATCATATATTTAAAATATATAAATATATATATATATATATATATATATATATATATATATATATATATATATATATATATATACATACATACATACACATACATGGAATATTAGTGTTTAAGCCTTTTTATTATATATATATATATATATATATCACATATATTTAAGTAGTATTCTTTCATTTAAACATAATCTGTGAAATAAGACGAGTAGATAGTGTTTCTTAAGCCTTTTTGTTGATTTTTGTTGATGTTGAATAAGTCATTTCATGTTAAGTGGAAAATTGGAAAAGAACTTGCCGAAATTGCGTGTTATAGTCTGTGTACTTTCGACCATCGTTGGCCATTTTTGAGGAACGATAGTAGAAAGTCGAAAGATAGTGTCGCGTTTATGTTCTAAAACATAAACGTAACTTCACATGTGTCTGTTGAACAGAATTTTTATTTTTGAACAGAACAATTTTTTTAGAAAACAAGAAAGATGAGGATCCTAGCCAAAAATAATCATTGGATAATCTATCTATCTATCTTAAGATTTTTTGTAATATCTGTAAATTTTTGTTGTACTAGAATGATCTCCATTACACTGATAATACCAGGTGGCAGTTTTTGTTATGGCAATGGTGGGCTGTTCAAACCTGTTTACGAAGTGAATCGATTCCTTGAAAGAGCAGTCTACAGCAATAATTATTGGAATGACTCACATGAGAAAAAGTCTCATAATAATAATAACGTTTTAACAAAATATTCCACCATTTTTGACGGCATATGTAAACTATTTAAAATAATTTTCTAATATCTTTTATATTATCGGCTAAAAGGAATAAAAGTTTTCGGTTTGTAATAATCGTGATAAAAAGAGCACTTGGCTGATATATTGTGTCTATTTTTAAGGGTGAACTCGAAATCATTATATAATAAAGTGAACTCTATATACTCAACTAGCGCAACTAGTTTGTTTTACTAAGTCCCTTCAGAACGAATCAATCATGGCTCTCCACCACTTCTTTTATTCTTTAATATCTATTGTGAAACTCCATGACTATTTTTGGCAAGCATCGTAGTGTGTCTTCTGCACAGTTTTGAGTTGACATTTTCATAGATTGATTATCAACCATGTCCCATACTATTTTACCCATACTTAGAGGTAAAGGAAGGGATGGATTCATGTCTTTCTCAACAGCATTATTTTGAAGTGAATTCAAGCTGACCTAACCAGATTTTGAACTCAGCTTGCTGATTCCATTTCTTGCATTGATAACCTCTATGCTAACAGCATATCTTTCTCAATGTGGTATAGAATATAAGATAAATCCTTTGTTATTGCAAATTTTGCTATCTATCCATTATTATTTCCTCTTGCCTATTGAATGTTGAGTTTTATGACATATATTCTTTGCTTTTATCAGCAATCAATTCTGAATGCAAAATTATACTATAGGTCAGGGGAATATTTTGTTAAATGCAAGTAACCTGTCACATGCAAACTTACCTATTTTCTTTAGAATAACACTAAGAATGAACATTCATATTTTGTCAGTAAATTTATAAAACCCTTGTAGCTTCCTCTATAAATCTATGCAAGAAAAACTTTTATTTCTATGACATTAAATTTCTTTAATTAATATCAAATGTTGGGTAATTATTTTTTACTGTCCAGTGTGCATTTTCTCTTGGGGAAATAAATTAAGAATTAAAATATTTTTTTAAGCATATTTTTTGTGTGCAAAATATTATTTTTTAGCATTTAAGGTCGCTCAATAAAAAGTGAAAGGGAACTTTGGCGTCCTTTTTGTCATCAGGTCTGAAGATGTTTTCCTCTTCTATTTGACATAAAATTTGTAGACTTATTTGCAATACACAGATTTTTATTGACTATTTCTAAAAGATTATCAGAAATTCAAAAATTAATTAATTTTCCCCATCTGTTTAAATCTTTCGAAACATTTAAATTGCCATAAAAACTGACCTTAAAAAAGTAAACAAATTTAAATTTTCGTAACTGCAATGTAAACAAATCAATTTGAATTTACACATATCGTAAAAATAAAACAATTATCTGTTTCCTTTTATTAAAGAAATTAGTGGTGGCTCGATTTCTATATCTATACCGATTTTATAATCGATAAAATTTCTAATTGATTTTCATTAAAACTTAGGTTTATTATTAAAATTGATTCTTTGTCTTATGTTCCTTAATAATGGGAAATTACAATAAAAAGTCTTACCGAGTTCGTTGATGTTTTTATTGATCTGCTTCGGAATCACATTGTGAGCATTCAAATGCAGATTAGGGCTTGGTGGTCCACCTGTACTATTTTGGTTAGTGTTATATGGTGCCCCATCTTGGGGAAGCGGGGCCGAAATAGGAATCCGGGTGTTGTTCGGTGAAGGCATACCGTAAATAGGATTGTCGATTCCTTTTTTTGAGCAAAAAGACAAATGAACATTATTATAGATATTCGAAAAAGAAGAAAACTAAATAGGAAGCAGAAAGATCATGATGCGCCAGTCTTTCTTGAAAAGCAGCATTGGCAGACCTCGTTTTTATTTGATTTTGATATTTGATCAAAATTAACAATGGTTCAATGGGAATCTAATTCACCAACAATTGTTTGTTTGTTAAAACGAACTCACCAATGATGTAATGCAGGTGCTATTGCATGGAATTAATGTGTCATTTGGTGGCTTTGGTAATAATTTGATTAATTGATGGACGCATGACAGTGGTTACAAAATTAGTGTTTCAATCATAAGACCTGGGTTCGAATCTGACCATGGATGATTTGTCATAGTGGTGACTTCTTTCACAGGTTGACTCAAACCTTGTGAGTAAAACTGGGTAAACAATACTTTTCTGAAGTAGTTGATAGTTATGTTAGCATGAAGTCATAAGTGACTAAGGGTTTGGGTTTATTAGTCTTATTAAAACTGATGATCATGTCAGATTATGTGCTATCTCCCATAAACTGTAATAAGGTCCACCCAGCATAGTTGCAATATCAACTACACGTTGGCTCAGTAGATGTTGAAGAAACACAAAATGTGCCTGAACACGTCTGGAACAGAGATTAACTATCCATCTGAACTAAGAAAGTTAAATAAAGCATAGTGTAGTATAAAATTGCAAGCATTCCCATAATATTTTTGAAATATTAGATGCTCCAGTGAAGGCACATGCCTATCACTCGTATGGGTGAACTCCGTATGTAGAGTAATTTTCAACATCTTTTCCAATGTATATATCAAAAATGTTTCATGCGTGAAAATCTTGAATTAAATACATGGATGATTTGTTTAAAATTGTGTTCTTTTTAAGACTGAATATCTTGGAAAATAAAAACAAGTATCACGGTTTTTCTATTAAAGATTTTGAAAAGTAATTAATGATAACTTAAAATTTTCCTCGCAGTATGACTCATATAGGAGTCAATGTGTTGTCTTAAACAATACAACAAAAAGCACCTAATCACCAAAGTAATTCAAATATCAGCCCCTAATACTGATTACCTGTTCTTTTTTTCCAGTGAAAGCCTTCTCAGTATATTTAGGTTGCAATTATGTGTTTAAAAAGTTAAACAGTTTGAAAGAGACAGACAGAAAAAGAGAGAGTGAAAGAGAGGGAGGGGGCCATACTTACCAACTTGTGTTGGTGGTTTTGGTTTTAAAACCCTTTGCGCGCCTTCAGCGGCTTGCTGTCCAAGAGTGCTCAAACGTTTTCGGTAATAGAACGCCATCGCTATAAGGGCTATAAGCAAGACAGCCAACAGAACTGAAAGCACAACAGTCGTAGCACTCACTGACGGTTGATCACGAGCAGCCTTGCCGTATGCAGCATGAACAGCATTCGCTGTGTGGAAAAATGGTGTAAAGTTGATAAAACGATTAAACTAGATGCTATTTGTTCTGCTTGGGTAAAGATTTTATTAATCGTTAATAAAAAGTGAGGTGTATAAATCAGCCATATAAAACATAGAATTTCATTTGCCATACATTCGAATTATCAAGAGATACTTGTATTATGATAGTGACAGTAGAAATAAGATATTAAAGTATAGACAGTTTAATGAGAATTGGCCTTGCAAAAAACCACATGACAGTAATTAGTATGATAGAATAGGTATCATTTGCATTACACACATGTCATAATTGTATGGCTACGTGCATGCGTTTATGTTCATGAACATGTTCATATTGAAGAGAATCGTGTTGAGCATGAAAAATTGAGATATTTCTGAGTGCTTTGTTGTTAATCTCCCTGAGAATGTTGATACAAAGTTTTTGGTCTAAGGTGTGAGATTAACCCACTTAACTTTACTAAAAATATCGTAACTAGAGGACGCTCCTTAAGACTATAAATAGGGAATGACATTCTCAGTCACTCTCTCTTTCCGTTTTTTCTTTGGGAGAATACGATGTAGTTCACACGAGGTACAAATGTTCCCCTACTGTGAACGCATATTTACTTCACTTTCGATTACTTTTCTTTCGGACTTCTACACAAACTTCATTAACACAAACACATTCTCCAGTTTAAATGTTTTCTTTTTTCATATTTATTGTTTTGTCACACGCAACAATGTTTTATTGTCTATGTATACCTTTGTTTTGTTAATACATACATTGTCGTTTGTTTGTATAGAGGTCTGTTGTTACTTCATTCATTTATTACTCGGAATCCCATTTGAGTTCGCAATTACTGTTTTGGGAAAAACTACCTGGTGACACGGGTTTTCTACCTAAATACAACTAGTATTCCCGCAACAAACGTATTATAAATGTAGTCACGTTTATATAGGACAGGCCTCAAAAAAAGAAAAAAAAAAAGAAACTACATACAAAAAGGAGACATGTACTACTAAAGCATTTCTACTTACAGGGAGTGTAAAAATGTTGCAAGAGACATCCAGCGTTGCCAAATCAGTGCAAGTGAATGTAAGACCCTAGTGGGATTAAAATCCATATCTGCGCTGCCTATATTTGAGGATAAATCAAATAATGTCATTACTCGAAATCTAATCGCATCCATAATATATATATATATGTAGAATGGATAAATATATCTAGTCAAATTTTTATCTTTAGGGACACATCTATAAAAGGTCAAGTGTCAAAGGGTAGGAAAATGAATGTAAAATTAAAAAAGAAACATTTATTTAACGGGATCTTGATAATCTGTGTAAAATTGACTTGCGCGCACACACACACACACACACACACACACACACACACACACACACACGCCACACACAAAATCAAGTTTCTTTTTTAACGGTTTAAATAACAACTTTTCAATCTTAATTAATTCCTATTTTTTCTTCCTACTTCCCTTTTTCTGGCACCACCACGCAAATTGGGAATGTTCTGTAGACGACAATGACAAGACTAGTACTAAATTATCTCACCTGTACAACCAAGAATAAAATCACAGTATTCGTGTTCGCTACAGTCACATCTGTGATCGCAATTGAACCCATAACGGCCATACGGACAACCTGTAAAAAATAGAAGTGAATGTTTATTGTAGATAAAGAATTTTGTCCGCTGGACAATTGTCAACATCAGCCAGTTTCATTATATATTTTATCTCTTCGTAAGCTGATGATAAAACTAGCCAAGCGTACTTTTAAAACTATACAAGGTAAAATTTGTATTTTCTTAAACCAACAATCAGAGAATCTGAATGATCGATTTTAGATGAATGGTTATTACCATTAATTACTAATTGTGAGTTCCCACCGGTAGTAACTGATGGCTTACATTGGAGATCAAGTGATAGCAAGTATCCCCAAAACTCCATCATACATTTTACTATTTTAGTTGTTTTCTCTGATTCCAAGAACGACTGAAATGAATTTCACATACATGTTTCACAACTTCGTCAGTTCTTTATTATTATTATTACTAGAAAAACTCGGAAAAATTTCAAGGTTTTCCTATTTTCATTTTTCGTCCGGTGAAGTTTAATTCTTCAGTTTATGAGTGAATAAGCTCATGGCGAGTTGAAATATTAGTAAAAATCTACTATCGCAAACTTAAATATTTGAGCTTAACAACTTTAACAAAATATTGACAGAACAATTCTCTGGTCTTTATTTTAAGAAGTAAGGGTGTACAAAACGTTTACTCAAATTTTTAAGCACTTTATCGAATGTCTTTCTTGTCCGTTTACCTGTCATATCATAACTCAAGGACAAATCCAAATCCTGTTGAAGGAACCCACCCCCATGATTGACCAAGTTTTCGATGGTGTAGCCGAACTCACCACGCTTGGCTAATTGCGGTTTGGTTTAGTGATAGGATATTGCTTCAAGTTTTGAAATTACGTTCTTTATGTATGCTAATTCTTTCTTTACTTTCTAACGTAACATTTGGACCAGTTCGTTCGCCAATCTTTATTAGCTGGGGATGGAATAATGTCATTTTATGATAAATTGGTTGCTGTGTAATGTATCCCATGAACAGAGAACATTACGAGAATAGCGAAAGAAAAAAATCACTTACTTTCTTTGCAATGAAGCCCAGTGTACCCTGGCATACACTGGCACGTTCCATCAGACGTCCGACATTTTCCGCCGTTGTTACATTGACATTTGAATTTACATTCTTCACCGTAATAACCCATTTGACATTCTGTAATAATAATAAGAGTAATAATAATAATAATAATAACACATAGAATAATGATAATAACAATATAGACAGACAGAATAATCAAAGCTAATTTATCAGACATCGTGATCTAAGACTACTATAGAATGTGCTTTCTTATTGACTTGGCAGTCTCTGCAGATTGTAACGTATATTTGAATACTTAAAAAAACAAACAAAAAAAAAAACAACAAAATCTGTTAAAATACGAGGTACTGGAAATGGAAATCTAAAAAATGTGTCACATGAGAACATCAATAATTCCAGTTCTTTTGGAGCCCTCAGATTGATTGGAAAAGGGCCCGATAGACTTCTTGAAGGGATTCCCTGTAGCCCATGCCTTAAAGAAATGTAATTGTATTCACAAGTACAGTTCATACATTACGAAGAGCATTATCTATGTAAAATGCGGGTGATAATAGGTACTTTATTTTTTTACAAAAATGATCAGTGGAAAATGTCATGAAATTATTTCTGACCTTAGTTCTCTGGTTGGGACCCACAAAGAAGTGTACATACAACAGAAATCAAGAAAAAAATAATATCAGCATAATAACACAAATAATAGCATTTTGAGGAATTTGATAAACTCTCAAAATATAACGATCTGGAATGAGAATTTGGTAAGCAGAATTATTATTCCATTAATTACAAGAGCGCTAGGAAAGAGTAAAAAGAAAACTGATTGATACATTAAGAAAATCCCCAAAAATGCATTTTTATCTGAAATTGTCTTAATGAGTACTGATCACAGACGTAGAAAAATAAAACCTGAATACCCCACCAATATTTGCATTTATCTTAGGTCTCATGTAAAAAAAATGGTAAATGATTTTATGAAGCAAGAAACGTCGAAGAATCAAAACCATCCTGATTTTAGCATTGCTAAAACCAGTGAGAAAAGTTCTTAGCTCCATCCACTTCCCAAAATGTGACTAAACATCAGATTTTTAAAATTCTGTTTACAGCAACTCCTCGTACTGAAGAGACATGTAACTTTGATTTCTCATGAAAGCCACCATACACTACGACTGTGAAAATCTAAAGTGTACAAATAACAACGACAATTTGAAAAAGAGAAACTGAAAAAGAGTGAAAATGAAAAAGGTTCCTGTATCTTGGTTTATCATTTTAACGCTAGAGCTAAAAATGAACGATAAAAGATTGGATATGAATGACATTACATTGATGACATTGAGAGGGCGTCAATGATATCTCAAAATAGCACTTAATTCACAACCAGTATATAAAGAAAAGTATTTAGTTTCCATTACTTGTTGGTAATTTTAAAACTGACATTTGGATATTTCGCGAGAAAAACATTTGAGATATACTATCATTTCGAAAGGAATATACATTTTACAATGTTTAAAAAGCAAAATATGAAAAACTGTAAAAAGAAATTCTCGCTTCTTCCACAAATGTTTATCTTTTTATTATTTCGTATCAGACAAAATTTATTTTGAGCGTTTTTCTCTCCAAATATCCATTTTCTTTTGTTTACTTACCAATTCTACACTGTTGGCCCATCCATCCGGGTAGACATTTACAAAATCCAGTGACAGTATCACATTTGGCCCCATTATAGCAAGACTGACATCTTTCTTGACATCGCATTCCGTATGTACCATTAGGGCATTCTAAGGATAATAGTAATAATAATAATAATAATAACAACAACAACTACAGCACAATACAGGAGTTTCAAATGGGCGTAGAGATGCAACTACTGCACAATACACCAGCTGAAACTGCAAAATACCTAAAAAAAGACAGCAAAGACGAATGCAACCGACCAGATACAGAAGCGATGGCAGGATAAACCGCTTCATGGCCAATACTCTGCCCGTACCAAACAAGCTGACGTAGACAAAACCCGTACCCATCAGTGGCTACGTAGTGCAGGGTTGAATGCGGAAGGTTTTATCCTTGCTGCGCAGGACCAATGCTTACTAACTAGGAATTATCAAGCACATATACTAAAATATTGTATCAGCCCAAAATGCAGATTCTGTGATAAGTATCCAGAAACGATTGATCATCTTGTATCAGGTTGCACGGTGTTGGCACCCACTGAATATAAAACCCGACATGACAGAGTGGGCCAATATCTGCACTGGAAAATCTGCAACTTCTACGGGAAGGAAACTGAAAGAAACTGGTATGAACACCACCCAGACCCGGTTACGGAGATAGGACCTGTTACAATTCTATGGGACTACACAATACACACTGACAGAACAATCAAGGCCAACCGGCCAGATATTGTTATTAAAGACCACAAACAAAAACGGTGCCTCCTTATTGATATGGCAGTCCCTGCTGATTGCAATGTATCTTTGAAGATATTCAAAAAGTTGTCAAAGTACAAGGACCTTAAAATAGAAATCTCGAAAATGTGGCATATGGGAACATAAACAATCCCTGTTGTAGTTGGAGCCCTAGGACTGGTTGGAAAAAGTTGCAGTAGACTAATTGAAGGGATTCCTGGAAGTCCATGCCTCAAGGAGATACAAAAAATGTTCTGACAAGTACAGGCCACACCTTACGAAGGGCTTTATCTATGTAATTTAATTTTTTTTTTGTCAGTGGAAAGTGTCATGACGTCATTTCTAACCTTACGTGCTAATACCCTTGGGAAAGGTATGAATCCTCTTTTTCCCCCAAGTTCTCAGTAAATAGCAGGACCGACCTAATCTTGGATGGCAACTGGTCTACTGTAGAAGGAAATGGCAACCTACTGCGAGAAAAAAATCTGCCTCGTCCCTCATGTATCGAAAGATACATGATCGCCTAAGCGTGTATCACACATAGTACATAACTGATTGACTCCTCCCAAACCTGAATACAATACTGTGCATGAACTAGACACATGGTACCCATAGCGTGGTGACTGGCTACTACAAATCGGCATTATTTTGAATTAGTCTACCACGTAGCGTGGCTTTGAACTGGCTGATTTTATCCTACGTGTTTTGGTGTTTGTAAAAATCGTTTCGTGATTTTTGCGATGACTGATAAAAAGGAATAAAATGTACATAAAGTTTTCTTTGGAGAAAAACTCCCGCTGAAACTGTTGTAATGCGTTGCAAAACTTTTAAAGAATATGCTTTAAGTGAAAAACCAATGTATGAGTTGTATTCATATTTCAAACGTGATGAAATGTCAATTTAAAAAAAAAAAGCAACCACGATCTACACTTAACAAGCCGTAATAAACAAAATCTGTAAAAGTTCGCCAAGCAATCAATATAAATGAATCATTGATGAGATATCGATGGTGATTGGTTTTTTAAGGAGTTCATGCAAGTGGATGTTAAAAGATGATTTTAAAAAATATTGTTCATTGTTTGCTCTTCCTCGAGATTAAAAATACAACAAAAATGTTTGAAAGTGCAACTATTTGACAAGAAGTTTGAAATACTTTCTTTCTCAAAATTGTAACCGGGGATATGTTCCATAATTCTAAATACCTTGAGTACTCCTTTTCTATTACGATATTTTGAAGGATGTCGATCTTAGGTTTTCAATTGATCCTTCTGTTATGCACAAAAAATTCAAAAACTGTGAAAACATTCATTATCAATATTTGTTATGGAGGAATTCCTTAGAACACTCTGCTGAAATAAAATAAGTGGCAAAAGGCAAAAACAACAATATAAATTGAATTATAAAAATATAAATAGGAAAAATATTGGCAGTAGAGGAATTATACTGCGTGTGACGTCTAAGACGATGTATTTTTGCCTTCAGTGGCTTGAATAGTGTTGATGTAGACACGACACAGCCAGCTAAACTGATCACTAGCCAACTTTTCTAATTGACTGGATATTACAGGTCTTCAGGATGGACATGATATGGTTCCTGTATCCGTTGTAATGACCACCGATACCTAATCAACTAAATAGGGCAAAAGAATATGTACATTTCGTGAGGGAAGCAGTTGCGGTTTCTAGTAATGCAGCCACCACCACTGTCATCATCATCATCATCATCATCTATATAACCGAATAACGTTACACTAACTCTAAGTGAATAGATTTATTTACCTTTATCACAAAGGTAACCGATTTTACCAGGTGGGCAGGTACATAAACCTGTGAGCAAGTTACACCTGACGTCTCCATTATGTTCTGGACAAGCTGGACACTGCTGTTCACAAGAGAAGCCATAATGACCTGCAGGGCATTCTGTAAATACAAATAAAATAATCATTGCAAAAGATCAAAAGATATGGTATTGCATCATAAAACAGCTTCACTGAAACAAATATGTATCAACTAATGGTATCTAAACAACAAGTAGAATTAGCAGGAATGTGTTAGAAAGAACGAAGGGTAAATGTTTTGTGAATGATGCTAATTAAAAACATACCCATATTTTCTTTCATATATATATATATATATATATATATATATAGGGTGTGAAGGGTAAATTGTCACCATTTTATATTTTTAATTTTGCGCATGCGCGTTGTTTGTTTTTTATTTTGTCGAATGCAATTCATTCCGCTAGAAATTTGGAAACAGCATGCTTCACTGCTTGGCATTAGCACCGGAAGCTCGAATACGAACATTTCAGAGAATTTGGTGTCAATTTGGAGACAGTGCAGAGGATTCGGAAAGAACTGGATGAGTGATTACGAAGGGGTTTGGAGTGATCAATGGTAATGGTGACATTATGCTTCCATTCAACTTTCCACAGGGCCTCAAGTACGGTAGCCTACATCAAGTGCCTTGATGAGGTAGTGCTGCCCTGGGTCAAAAGGGTGATTGCTGAAAGACCCTATATCTGGCATTATGTCTCTGCGGTATGCCACAAAGCAGGAGAACCCTGTCATAGCTACCAGAAAATTTCTGCGACCAAATTATCCCTTACATCTGACCACCTAACTCCTCTTCAACCCCTGTGATTATTATGAGCGGATGTAGTTGAGCGAAAAGAAAACTCCTTGTAACACCAAAGATGAACTGAAGGCAAAGGTTATGGCAGCATTCACCAACTTAAACAAGGAGACCGTCCAGAAGTGTTGCAAGAGATTCTGAAGGCCGTAGTTGAAGCGAATAGCAATTTTATTGAATAAATGTACTCTTTAATATTTCAAGATATTTGGGTGTAATTTTGATAAATATACCTGTTAAAATGAGATGTCAGTGTTATTTTCATTTTTTTTCCTTCATAATTTAGACGACAATTTATCCATCGCACACTGTATATACGTATATATGTATGCAAAATTCCAGGTGTAACTAAAAATATATCTCTGAAAAGACAATATAAATAAAGACAGAAAGGAAAACTTATCTTAGCCGACGCGTTAAGTATTTATAAACAGTTATAATGTTAGTTTTCGAAAACTTTTAAATTTAAGAAACGCTCATAAATAAGGCTAATTGAAACTAAAATAATTTAAGTATTAATTTCATTCTATAAAAAATGTAACAGCAACATCATTTACTCACTTTTGTTTATTAAACATTAAATGACATTACTTAGCATGCTTTATAATTTGCCTTTTCAGTTTGCCCAATGAATATTTATAGCCATTTTCTTAAATCTAGAAATCAGATGATGAAACGCGTCAATTTTTCTTTTTTCATTTTTCCAGGGAGCACAGATTTACTGAAAATTATTGAGAGTGGCACTATGGAAACTTTTGTTTTAAAATGTATCCATTTTTGCACATTTATCACTCATTTTTCTCTTTTTGGCAATTTTGGATATTTTTTTATAAAAGAATATAACCTTTTCGTATTTTCATCACTAATTGTTACTAATTTTGCCTATTTTGTATTTTTTCGCAATAAAAGATATCTTTTTGTCTATTGCTCATTATACTAATTTGGGACATTTTCTATCTTTTTGAAAAAAATATAACCTTCTTTGCATTTTCATCACTGGCTTTATAACATTTTGCCTATTTTGTATCTTTTTATAATAAATATATCGAAAAGGGATATCTTTAATAAAATATATCACTTGCTGCATCTTCATTACTTATTTTACAAATGTGGGCTTTTTTGTATCTTGTTGCAATAAAATATATCCCTTTTTGCATGTTCATTACTTATTTTATTAACTATGGACATATTGTAACTTTTTGTAATAAAATATATAATTTTTTCTTTATTTGTTACTTTGTCTATTTTGTATCCTTCTGCAATAAAAAAATATATATCCCTTTTTACTCATTTTACTAATTTGGGAGATTTTCCATCTTGGAATAAAATCTATCACTTTTGACTCTTTATTACTCACTTTAGTAATTTTAAAAAATTTCAATCTTTTTTAAAAATTATAAATTTTATGCATTTTCTTCAATAATTCCTAATTTGTAACTTTTTGTAATAGAATATATCTATTTCTGTATTTACATTGCTTTTTGTTTTTACTAATTTTGGCCTTTTTATATCATTTTTAGCAGTATGATTTCACATTTTTTGACATTTTACTAATCCTGTACATTTCATAGCTTCTTTTCATAATTTTTTACAAGTTGCATCTTTTTGTAATAAAATATATCCCTTTCTTTCACATTTTACTAATTTAGTCTATTCTGAATTTAAAAAAAATAAAAATATAACACTTTCTGTATTTTCATCACTAATTTTATTAATTCAGGCCACTTTTTGCAATAAAATATATCACTTTTGCATTTTCATTACTCATTTTACTAATTTTGGAAATTTTGAATTTTTTTAATGAAACATGTATCTTTTTGCATATTAATTACACATTCTAATAATTTCGTCAGTTTGTATTGTTTTGTAATAAAATACTTCCCTTTTTGCATTTTCATCACTAATTTTACTGATTTCGGACATTTCGTAACATGTTTTTAATAAAATCTATCCCATTGCTTCAGTTTTATCATAAAGTTTATTAATTTTTCCTATTTTGTAACTTTTTGTAATTAAATACATCACTTTCTTCATTTTTATTACGTATTTTAATAATTTTGGTCTTAAACAAGTGTTTTTGCATTTTCCTTACTCATTTTACTAATTTTGGCCATTTTTATAAATCTTATCCCCGTATTTTTTAAAACATATTCTCTTCTAAAAAACGTGTATCTTTTTTGTCTTTCGATTCCTTCGCTCCTTGTACATTATTTCTCTCCTTATATATCTCATTTTTATTTTTTATTTCTGCTTATTATCTCTAACACGCACTTTCTTTTTCTCTTCTCTCTATATATATATATATATATATATATATATATATATATATATATATATATATATATATATATATATATATATATATATATATATATATAAAGGCTCAAACACTAATATTCCATGGTTATAATTTATTACATTGGAATCGTAATCACGATCCAAATCATCAGACCTACAAAACCTTGTTTGGCAACCAGTCTACCGCAGAAAGAAATAGCAACCTACTGTCAGAAAATCTTCTACTTAGTAAGTCATGAATTGAAAGTGACATGATCAACCAAGCGTGTTCTTTTTGAATTTTTTGGTCTGATGATTTGGATCGTGATTATGATTCCAATGTAATAAATTATAACCATGGAATATTAGTGTTTGAGCCTTTTATATTATATTCTTACTCTGTCCTGGACGTTGAGATCTACCTGGATTCTATTGGGAATTTTATATATATATATATATATATATATATATATATATATATATATATATATATGAATTTTCTAATGTTATATATATATAGTAATATTCTAATGTTATGAATTTATATTCAGATTTTTTTTATTGTTATCTTTAGTAGATACTAATATTTCAGTAGATTCTCCGTTTATTTACCAAACACTATATTCATTTATTTTTGTCTACCATAATTCGTGAAACCTGATTTAAAAAATATGCGCTCTCCGGCTGAACGCGTATTTTTCCTTAATTAATCCACTTTCTCATGAAAGTACAAATGAGAATGTCTGGTTACTTGATGAATGACAGAAATATTACCAAGGACTATTAACATCCTGATGCCAAATTAATCGCCTTCTGTATGCCGTTGAGATATTTTGAAGATCACCTTGAAACAATTTGACATCGGAGGAGTTTGTAAAATCCAGACGTAAATGAAAGACATTGTATTCATAGAGCTTAATGCAGAACTAGAGAATCTTAATATTTTGAAGCAAAAATTAAAGGAAAACAAATCTGTCAATAGCTTTGTCATTGTGACTTAAAACAAGAAGAAATTTCAGATTTGATTGATGCAAAATTGGTGATGCTGATTAAACAATGAGACAATCACCTGCTTTTATTGTGATCAAATCTGAACGACGCCGAAAGTTTAAAGGTGCATATGCAATGTCTTAGAATATAGGGGGAATGAATAGAGTATTGTAATTTTACTAAATTCAATGTTCACGATGGGTTAACTTTCCTTTCGCTACCCTAGCATGCAATGCACTTAGACGGTCATGTAAATTTGATGGCCAGTCTGTGCAGCTGTAGTTAGTACACAAGACAGTTTGTTTGTAGACACCGTTAAGAGAAAATGCTTGCCGGACACGAGGGAAAACATCAACTCTTGCATCATGACGTGCTGGATTATTTGTAACATTCGCTAGCTTTCCTTTTTAGGGTCGGAGAAAATGCATGTAACACATATCTCCACTCTGTTAGCATGTTCTCTTTCTATAAAATAAAACTTTTATTTACGTTCTTTCAGTCTCTCTCTAGCCTTAATTTATTTTTTATTTTGGATGTTTGGATAAATCTTTTTACCTACAGCGGGTCAATATGATATATTTAGTAAACACAAAAATATATATATATATCTTTTGTAATGTAGAATAATATTTACATTGTATATTGTTTGAAGTTTGAGGGCTAAAAATAGTCTAAGCAGAAAGAAAATAGATCAGCATTCGGTTACCTTGATCACAGTTTTCACCTATCCAACCAGGTTGACAATGGCATCTGCCAGTATACATGTCGCAAGATCCTCCATTACTACAGGTACACACTTTGTCACAATTTCGGCCCCATATACCATCTGGACATGTACTATTGCAAAACACACCTGAAATTAAATAATGAAGTAAAAGTCCTTTTTATTATTCAATAAATCAAAGAATATCAGAAAATCATTATAACGTATATATATATATATATATATATATATATATATATATATATATATATATATATATATATATATATATACTTCCCTCCTACATACATATGTCGAAGTAGTTTCATTTAAGCGTAACTGCAAACACTAAGGTAATAATAAGGCGGTTCCCACCAGATTTATTTTCACATACATCAATTACTTCATAGCACAGGAAACAGTAAATAGTGTATTCCAGCCCTGTTAAAAGAAAATTCTTAATCTCACCTGTCCAGCCATGTTCACATATGCAGAGACCTGTTGCCGAATCACATTTCAGTGTGTTGGATGCTGTACAGGGACATTGCTGTCGACAATTGGCACCAAAACGACCATTCTGAAAAACACAGAAACATTAGTGAAATCACTGAATGGATTTCATCCCAACGAAAACTCATCTGTAGACATTGTGGACATAAACTGTGTAGTCGTAGGTATAACGATAAACTACCACCGACTGCTAGGTTTCTTATCGTAGGAGTGTAAATTCTGAAGAGTATAGAACCACCTCGTAATTGCTGTTGTTCCCAGGTCCACCCTGACTCGTGATGGTATCACCTGTTAGGGCTTCAGCTATGGACAAATAGTGGGCCCCCAAACACTACGAATGGATAAAAATACATTTCTATAGTAAAAATAACAGCAATATTTTTTTAATAATAAAATATTGCCAACAGTACATATTCATAGAACTATTAGCAACAATAAGATTATAGGAAAATGACCAACAATATATTTTATCTGTAGTTGGAGCCATAAAACTATTTTTAAAATATTTTGATTCAGTGATTAAATAAGGCATATAGGTTGATATGCCGCTAAACCAAATCAATCAAACATTAACTGTGCATGTATGCGTTAAATACTTTGAAAATTAAACTAAAACTTTATAAATAACGATCACTACTTTTTTATGTTTCCTATATGCATTTGTTCAATTTATGTTTTCTTTTTTTTTCAGATTCCGCTTCTTTCTTAGTTTTTGCTTCTTATATCAAGACCTAAAACACCACAATCAAAATTATGCACGTGGTATTCGGCAAGTGAACTAATTTTGCTTACTGGGCATGGTTCATCACAGCGCAGCCCTTTATATCCGGGTTTGCATTGGCATTCACCAGTCACGTGATTACAGGAAGCATCGTTGCGGCAATGGCACACATTACTACAGTTCACGCCATACAATTCGCCTGGACATTGTTCTTCGCACATATGACCCCGCCAGCCTCAAAAAAGAAAATGAAGATAGTTCACAGGCAAACAAATAGAAAATAAATTAACAAAGAATGAGATATATTCATGAAAAGGTAAACAAGTAATAAAAATCGATGGAAATGAAAAAAAAAACAACAACAACAAATATCATGATGGAATATAATTAAGCAAAAACATTACGACGTTATTTTATTTTTACTCTTCAGAAATCTGATAAATGCATTACATTTAGCTGTAAGAATTTTTCTGACAGCTAAACTTATTCTTTGCGTTACTCATATTGTTACAATGATATCTGGTTCATTCACTTTCTTTTAAGAGTAAAATCCATCAGGACATAAGAGTAGTAACGATGTCAGTAACAGAATGAGTTGTCTGAACAACTCTTCGAATGATAATGACTCTTTTCAAATATATAAACAATACATTCAGCTTCGTTTTGAACCAACGTTCTTTATATTGTTTTTCTAAAGAAGGAATAATTTCACTTTATCAGTAATACTGAAAGTGAATAGGAATTAAATAACTTCAAACTGTTTTGTTTTTGTTCAAATGAAATAAACGCTTATCTGAAATGCAGATATTTATTGTTCTAAAACCAGTAATTAAGAATCAAATGTAACACGAATTTCAAACTAAATAGAATTTTTTGAGACAAAGCATTTTAAAAAAATATTTAGTAAAAAAATTAAGGGCGATTTGCACATTCTTTGGACTGTTGTCTTCATCTTTATTGCTATATTCACGATGTTTCGGCCGTTGTACGCTCCAACCTTCTTCAGGTGTTATTACTTGGAATTTTGAATCGAACGCTTTATATGTAGTTGATAGAATAGATTGTTCTAATTCCACGTTGTACACTTTTAGATATCTCAGTTTCAGTTAATTCCCTTTGAGAAATCAAATTTCCATGTTTTTGTTTCATCTGCTATGGCCAAGTATTGAACTCATAACTCTTTGGGTTAAGTTATTTTTGAATCAATATCACCTAAAGAAAGTCGGATTATACAAAGGCCGAAACGTAGTGAATATGGCAATAAAGAGTCCGAACAATGTAGATAGTTACAATACCTCATTTCAGAAATATAAACATATGTTGAAGATTAAGGTATATTGGGAAAATCAATATTAATTTTTTTTTTTTTTGATGAAATATGACTAAAGGTGGTCTTACCTGGAGTACAGACACAGTAACCAAAATCCGGAAGGCAAGTGCCATTATTTTTGCATGCACATTTCTGGGCACACCCTATGCCGTATGTCCCTTTTTCACACACCTTTTCACATCTGATTGAAAACCACATGAAAAGTCAATTAATTTAGAACAGTAATTATGACTCTTCAAGTCATCAAAGCGATGAATTATGTTAATTAACAAGAAAAGAGATTATGTTGAAAAATAAATATTATGTAAAATAAATGCTTACAAATTTAATAATAGTGATTAAAAGATTTAAGAGGAAATAATATAAAAAAGGAGTTAAAAACGGTCTAACATTACCGCAAAGTGGTAATATCCAAATGCAAAAACATAATTAGCAAATTGTCTATTTTAATCGATATATTGTAGGCCTGTTAAATTGAGCCTACATATATTTTTATGTTTTTTTCAAAAGTAAATTAATAATAGTATGTTGATATTTAGTTTCTTTAGATTTTTCATTATTATTAGGATAGTGTTCTGCCATTTTTTCTTAGCAGCGTCACTGAATATACGTTTAACGGTAAATATCCATGTGACTTCCGTTTTCTGTGATTAAACATCTCTTCGTACAACTAATATATATATATATATATATATATATATATATATATATATATATATATATATATATATATATATATATATATATAAATTCTAAGAAAAACATTTTTCAACGTTATTCAATTTTGAATTAAATTATTTAATTAAATATTGATAAAATATAATTAAAGGATAAAAAATTGATAAAATTTATCAAATTATCCAGTGCAGGGCTCGACATGACGAACTAGTGTAGCTGTAAAATGTGTTTCGAAAGACGCTGAACGATTTGAATTGTGAAGAGATACTGCCGCCTGTCATGTTGAAACTTAGACTTGATAATTCAATAAGAATTAATCCTCTTTCACCCGATAATTAATTTATTTTATAATTTCAATGTTTCATTAAAGTAGACAGGAAATTCATGGACATCTTCTTGTAAAACTCAGTTTCCGTCTCTCTTATAAGCCTCCACACATAGAAAACAATAAGCGCATCAAGTCGGCCATTGAAACTAGCCTATATTTGTATTATATTTGAAGTTTTAACATAACAGGTATATCAATACGATTGTATGGAAAGAGGTTCACCATTTTTTCTGGTTTAATCTTTACCGATTGTCTTTAAGAGAAAGTTCCATTCGGGGAATAATCATTCAGGGAATAGTTCTATCTGATTGATTAAACCGGATTCAGGTCAAGAAAACAAAACACTAAAATGCTATGAAGGCATGGATTATGGCAGCATTAACCAATTTAAACAAGGAGACCGTCCAGAAGAAATGCAAGAGATACGGAAGTCGTTTGAGGTTGTGGTTTTTAGCATTTCAAGATATTCTGGTAAGTATATTTGTTAAAATGAGATGTTAATGCTATTTTCATTTTTGTCTGATTTAGACGACAATTTATCTATCGCACACTGTGTGTGTGTGTGTGTGCGTGTGTGTGTGTGTGTGTTATAGGTACCTTCATGAGATCGCTAAAAAAGAGTATAGCATGACGAAAAAGACGCCAAACTTGATGAAAACAAAAGTTTATCATCTAAATGTTTATGTTATTATTAAGACGAAAGATCAAAGTATTTTTTAGGTATTTTTTGTACATTTTAATCGTTCCTAGCACGTCCAAAATTTTCGTTAAAAATCTTGTTTTTAGTCAGCAAAATTGACAGATAATTGATCACGTCAGCCATTTTTTTCCAATTTATGAAAAAAAATGAAAATCTCAGTTTCAAATCAATTATAATTTTTTCAAAACTTATTTTAAGAAAATCAGAAATTATAATGTTTATTTAAAATATTTTGAACCAAGCTTAACTTAGTTTCTGCGCCGAAAAGACGTAGTTTGAAAATAAAACAAAGCAGGTCATAACCTTTTGCGTCACTTGACAGGTGACATTCATGATAGCTTACATGAGGATAATTCCTTCTACGGAAGGAGAGAAGTGAAGTTATTTAGATTTAAGCGAACAAATTATTTACCTCGTTACTTTTAAGGAAAACTTTCAGCGCTCTAATTTTTAAAACTTTTTTTGTACTTAGCTTTCACCTTTACGTTTACGATGCTTTATGGAAAATATATTATAAAGAAATTAGAATAAGACTGTTGAGAGTGAGATTAAATTTCATAAGAAAGCTATCTAATTAATTTATAGGTACCTTTCTTATTAAATTTTATCAGAAGTATACATAAAATACAAATTCAAATTTCATAAGATGATACTGATACTTGTAGGTACACTTCTCAGTTGAAATCGAAAAATCAAATTAACTTCTCCACACGTGTTTCGTCAAATTAAATCTATCTCAAAAAGATATTTACGAAACTGAATGCAGCTTTTAACTAATTTTATAATATTTTAACAACTTAAATGTAAAAATCTATTATAATTAAAGAAATAACAAATAATTGTATTAAAAATTCAGTATTTAAGTTAAATACTAGACAGAAACTCAATCCACGTGACGTTTTTTTATTGCACGCATGATACTTCCGGTCTTCCGTAGATTTGATTTACAGTGTTATTATTGACACAAATTATATATTTTATATACTGTTGTTTGTAAGAAGTTTTGGAAATTATAATCTGTAAATATATACCTACATTAGTTAAATTCTACAAACTTCCTCCTAATTTTAGAAGAATTAACAACATAATGTAAAAATAATAAAATATTCAAGAAATAACAAATAATTGTTTTAAAAATTCATTTTTCATCGAAATATCTTTTTGCTTTCAGACAATATTGTTCATTAAAATAAATAAAAGCAATTAAAAGCTTTTGAAATTAAATAATATTTTTGTTTTATTGAGTTTTGTATGTTACAATTCAGAGATGATTTTCAGGTAGATATGGTTCAACTAAGAAAAAAAAAATTAAAAAAAAACATGATTTGGTTTCTTCAAAGCCTTGTGCTTTTAAACTAATATAATCACTAATCTTCCCAAAACTGAAATTATAGCGTTTTCGTACAATTAGTTATGGTGTGTGTGTGTGGGGGGGGGGTAATACATATGAAAAAAAAATTATAATAAGTTCCATCATTTGTGAATAGTTTCTGAAAGTTTCATTAAAATCCGACAATTTTTTTTATTTTTTCAAAATTTTCTAAATTAATGTCTGTCATACAGAAAAAATGAGCTAAAATTTTATGTTATTTTACTAGTTCCGGTTCTCCATCCGTCGGTTTTCGTTCACTGCGAATCATAAACAAAGTATGGAGTAATGCACGGTTACCGCCCTTGTCAAGAAATAGTATCTGTCTTCGCTATAAGAAACGGAGTATGAATGAAAAAGGGAGATTTAAAATTTTACGCGTTAAAGAGCTTGGACGTCAAAACCATCAGTTAAAGACTTCATCTTCTCTTCTTTCACCTCCTGTAATTTAAATTACGCCATAACAAGAAGTAAATACTGTAGTTACACGATATTAAAAATTAAATAAATAATTCATTTAAAGTTAAATTTAAATTACGAACAGAGTGAAAGGTTTAAAAAAACAATTTTTTATTCAAGATTTTACTTTAATTTCGCTTTTCAACGCAGTTGTAATTAAACCGTAATTAAAACGGGGCACGGTACGTTGCTCATATGTTTTTTTGTTTTTTTTCTAGCACGTATCTGACGTAATCAAAATATTACATAGTTCGGGTACTCTAATGTTTTTAAGAGCGACTTAAGGGATGATGATTTGAAAATTAAACAAAAATTGCGCGTAAAATAAATGTAAACAAACTACGGAGATCGGTTGCGTATACGAAGAAAAATTATGACGAATTAAGGTGTCGAATAAAGATAGAATAATTTTATTATTTCTAAATTCTTATAACTTTTACGTACGTAGGACGCTGAAGGTAAAAGACCGAAAGCCCAAAAGCCCTCTGCAGGACTTAGTCTAAAGTCCGCCAGAAGGGTAACTTCTAGGCTAGTAAAAATAAAAGTGAGATACATAAAGAGAGTACATGGGGCGAAGAGAGAGAGAGAGAGAGAGAGAGAGAGAGAGAGAGAGAGAGAGAGAGCAGAGAGAGGACATTTACAATGATAAAGTGGTTAAAGATACGTACTGTTCACCCGTCCAACCCGGGGGACAGGTGCACACCCCTGTTACAGGATCACAATCCCCACCATTTTTACACTTGCATGCATGAGTACATTCCTCTCCATAGAATGGTGCTGGGCATGGTTGGTGACACTTATCTCCTTTAAATCCACTGTTACATTCGCACCTTCCTGTTCCCGGATGACACCTGCAGATCGTAGATAATAATAATAATAATAATAATAATAATAATAATAATGTGAATTGGCATGATTACGAGTTGACCATGGCAAGTGGTCAAATGACTGGGAACCGAACAGACAAACTACTAGTATCGACAAAAGACAGAATCTCTCTCAGAGCAACATACAAAGTAAATTCCACTGGATTTGGAAATTTATTTGAAATATATACTATATGTAAAACAACAACCCAGAATCTGTCTAGAGTCATTGTTATTAATAGGCTGAGGTCAACACCGAAAATCCGTTTCATGCCATGAAGATCACATTCAAGTATGAAAGAGACTGTTGCCGCTCGATGTTGTCTTCAGTGTCGTCTTTTATAAATCCCTGGTATTGAGAACTTTTACCTATAAATATATTACATTTTAATTATATATATATATATATATATATATATATATATATATATATATATATATATATATATATATATTTTGGAAGTGTTTGTGACGCAAGAAGAAAGGTATCTTAAAACACTTCCAAAAACATTATGGATATACTAAGATCTTCAAATATTAATAGCAATAATATTTCTGAAGCAGGCATTTATAAAATAAATTGCCAAAACTGTTCCTCCCAATATATTGGAGAAACAAGTAGAAATAATTAAAAAAAAAAAAAAACGCATTTATGAGTACAAAAGAGACCTCACAAAAATCAACTTACCTAATGCACTAGTCATACATAGAAATAAATTCAACCACAATTTTGATTTTAAAAATGCTACACTCATAAAAAAGTGAAAATAACTCACTCAGAAGGAAAATCCTCGAGAGTGCCGCCATTGAATATTACCCAAATATTAATCTACGTCGAGGCTTTTTCCCTATTTCACTTTTCTTAAAAGAATTACTACTCTCCCAAACAAACGTACAGAACAGTATCAAGAAATCAAAAGAAAATGGTTGAATCCGCCAACACAGCAACAAAAACAATATATCCACACGTGACAGTAATTGACGTAATTTCAGTTAACAGTATGAAAATAGCCTTCTCTAAATGCTAGTTTTGTTATCATTAGTTACTTTTTGTAATAAATTTATTTCTTTTTGCCTTGAAAAAGTCCACATCGAAGTTTTCCTACTGTCTTTTATATTTATAAATATTGTCTTTTTCTACAGGCTAACTTTGAGAAATTTTTCATATATATATATATATATATATATATAGTTTATGCAAAACTAGGTAATCCGCATGGGTAGACCCAGGGAGGATGATATCCGGAGAGCTCAATGTAAAATTCAGAGCAGATATGTTTGAATAAAAACAGACCACTTTAAGGTTCCATGTAATAAGGAGAGAAGATATGGGTGGATCCACCCATATCTTCTCTCCCACCTTTCTTCTCTCCCACCTCACTTCCTCACTTCGTTAATTTTACATATGCTTGACGCGGTCCGTCAAAAACGTGTGAATTTCTTTTCATTTTTCATTTCAGCTTTTGGAAGTAAAGTCTGATGATCCAGAGCCCTGTTAAAGGGGTTATGGTGAAATAACTTATTACATGGAACCTTAAAGTGGTCTGTTTTTATTCAAACACACACACATATATATATATATATATATATATATATAATTTTATATATTGCGAATAACCAAATATAAGATTTTTAATCCATCTTATTTGGGCCGAAAACTTTTCAACACATCCTTGTATATATATACACACACACACACACACACACACACATATATATATATATATATATATATATATATATTACAAGGGCGCACGATATTATAAAAGAGATCTACTTATTGTAAGGGTAACACAGACAGTTTGCACAGATCCAAACAAATGTGACGTCAGCCAATACGAACATGTGCCTTGGCCAGACTTACACTTGCGTATATCCAGTCATGTTGCGAGCGGGTCAGATGAGGGATCGATTGACGCTCTGTTGTGTTCAATGTTCAGAACAAATTCTACCTTTATGCTCGTTTGTGTATGCAATGTAACGATATGTATTCACCAACGCTATATAGGCGCAACTTCTGTCATTATGGAGTCGGCTGTTATAGGTTACAAATTTCGGTTGCCTTTGGTGTTTATGTAGAGAATTAGGAACATCGCCATATTGTCCAACCTGTTTTACGAGAATGCTTTTCCAGCGAAATAATACCTGCCCACATGATTCCTATGTCATTCAACATATTTTGCAAGATGTTTGAAAACTTTTCTAACCGGTTCTATTTATCAGATCAGTTCCTAAGTGAACATTTATGAGTTATGATGAGACAACGCCTGGCTCATTCAGGTAGCCCACCTATAATACTTGCTGCATTGCGTAAACAGGTGCAAGAGCATATAATAATATATCGTAGGATACTATACATCGTCTTTACGATCATACGTAAGTACAGGCTTGTATTAATGCCCGAGAAGCATATACAGTGCCTTATAGGCTTGAGTACTGTTGATATACACTTTATTCTGGACCCTGTGCACATATTGACATCTACGTGTGATCTACTGTAATCGTGTTATATGATTTACAATTTTAATTGAAACATATTCTGTCCCTAAGACAGCCCGATGCCATGTTTAATTTCGTTCTGGCATCTCTTGCTATGACGCCGGTGCCAAGTTGTATTGGCGTCTGCCTTTCTCAGTGGAGTGGAGAGGAAAGACGTGCTGCATGGACAACTGCCGATCTCCCATAAAAAAAAAAAAAATCCTGCCCATTCCTGCAGATTGGAGATCTCATAATTCTTTGAGCGCAGATCCATGGTCTCTCGAGACCGATAGATGCAATACATACAAAATGCTACGCCCGGCTGCTCTCTTTGTGACTTAAAATTGTTTACGGTTTTCGGGAAAAGGTTTGATACATTTCAAGGTTGTTTATGATATTAAGCAAACTAACCTTATTGGACAAAGAAGAAAACTAATTTAAATATTTTTTTCTTAACAATTGTAGACGAAAATTAAATTGTAACATCAGATGTGACTTTTATTGTCATTTATTAATAAAACAATTAATGAGAAGGAATAAAACAACTGACCTTTTCGTATTTTGCCAATCACAAATACACGTGTACGAACAATTGATACCATAGGTTATTGGTGAACATACTGCAAGAGAAAAGTTTGAATAACAGTATTAGATATCTATTAAAGAGAGATTTTCATGAACAGAAACAGAAAAATTTTGGAAAAAGAAACAAATTAGAAGCAACTATTAATTGATAATATAATACAATTCATCTTGACTCAACCATCTATTTATCTTTTAATTTTAAGAATTATTGTCAAACTAGTTGCGTTCATCCTGAAGACATCACTTATTTATATGCAAATCTATATACGAGATCATATATATCTCTTGATCTACGGATAATGATTTGATATTCTCACCTCACAATGAGGTAAAGATTACTAAGCTCTTTTGGCCGGGTGATTGCATAACGAGTTCGATTTTCATTAGATTTCTTAACATTTGTCATTTTATAAATTTTTATGTCTTACAATACTCCCAAATACATTGACTCGGTTATCACAATTCATTTTAACTGACATAGGTATACTAGAATAAAAGAAGGTGCTATTTTACCGCATAAAGCTACACGTAACTTTTGAGGATATTATGCACACACACACACACACACACACACAAAAATATATATATATATATATATATATATGTTAGTGGACACTGAGGTCAGAACGAGCGGCGACAGTTTGTTTCATGCTTGAACGCAATCTTCAGGTAATGGTTATATTTCAAATTATTTTATAGGCCCCTGAGAAGGAATAATTGTTTATCCGAATACGATTATTTGTAGCTATTTTATAGTGTTTGTTAATTTTTTTATAGTGTTGTTTATGAATAAAAAATGACAATAGGAAAACTGGTAATTGCTGACGCGTTTCGTCCAATGTGGACTTTATCAAAGCAAAATACGAATTTTCGTATTTTGCTTTGATAAAGTCCACATTGGACGAAACGCGTCAGCAATTACCAGTTTTCCTATTGTCATTTTTATTCATAAATATTGTCTTCTCTACCGATTAAATCGGAGAAATTTTCATAGTGTTGTTTGTTAATATATATATATATATATTAATCTATATTACTTTTTTTTTAACGTAAATGACATAAGGCAATAAAATTTGCTTGAGAAGAGCAGCAAGACAGAAGGAAGAAAACAAATTTTGAAGGCTTTAAAAATTTAAATATTTTTTTAAACTTTTACTGTGGCATGTTTAAAGGAACTGTAATGGTTCTGTTAGATTTAAAACAAATTATTTTCACATATTCTCCTTTATCGTGTTCATTATTTTTAGTTATGAAATAAACTCGTTTGGTTGATTAAATTTCTTCCTTTATGATAGAGGTTCAAATTCAAAATATTATCATTGATAACTCTCTCCTGCAACTTGCGGAGCCTAGTAACGCTATTCTCAATATTTGATATAATGCAAAAAAAAAAAAAAATAATGATAAAATCGTTCAATAATTATTTATTGGGACTCATGCATGCTATTACAAGTAATCCATAATAATATTTTAAATTTTGAAATCCTATTTATTTTTGGCATATGAATTTTTTTAAACTGTTTCTAAATCTTTAATGGTGTTTCAATCATTCCGCCTCACCTGCTATCTGACGTTAATTATAGTAAAGGATAAGGTTAAAAGAATTAATTACCAAGGGCATTAAATTGCAATAAGATGAACTAGCACCTGAAAGTCTTGGTTGGATCTGATGACTTAATAGGATCATAAGATCTTGATTTAACAGGTTCATGTAAAACAAGGGGCATCCACTAGGTGCTAGAAAAATGGCAGCTAAGATAAACCAGTTTGCTGATGTCACGTTGGATCATGGACAGGATTCAATAAATAGAATTTTGTTTTTGAATACAACTCTCCATTCTGATTTGATTATTTATTAGGGTTAAGAATTATATGATGAAGCCATCAAAAGCCTTTCTCCTGATCCTATAATTTATGCAAATCGACTTGACATCTGATAGGCTGACAGAAATCTACGATTGTCCGAAAATCCAGGACTTACTTGACTGTTCTACTCAGAAATCAGGACAGAATCATGGCTCATATAGTAAACTTGCTTGCAAGATTAGCACATTAACCATCACACTAGGTACTCTTATAATAAACCCTTTATCATATTATGTGCACGTATCTGTGTGCAAACTCACATGTGATTAGAGAATGACAATTTAAAAATTCTTCATAGGTTGTGTCTACTGACCTCTGTCGGAACAGAACTTTCCATGGAAGCCTTGAGGGCACAAACAGAATCCGTCTTCTGGTGAACAAGATGCTCCGTTTCTACATTCGCAGTTATTTGAGCAATTCAGACCCCAAGTACCAACAGGACATTGGATTTGGCACCTAAAAAGAAGTAGTAGAAGAAGAGTATTAAACTGGAAAAAAAACAAACTTTTACCCCCCACGCTCCCACCAAAAAAATAATTACGAATTACACTGATCAAATATTTAATCACTTTTCCTCTTTCTTTTTTTGTCCAGTTTTTCTTTTTCTTTCTTTCTTTCTTTCTTTCTTTCTATTTCATCAACTTATCTCTACTGAAACTTATCCATTCTCACATTTTTCGATATATAATTCATAGTATCTCGTTTTCTTTCATAGTCCTTTCATATCCATTGAAATATGTTAAGACATGTTTGGTGGATTTACGTCCAGCAGTTTTGGTTAGAGTTCGAACCAAAGTAAAACGTAGGTTTTTGAATGTTGATTTTCCAGCTAAGCAAAAATCTTTGGAGTTTCATTCATAACGATTTTCTTTATTTCAACGTATTCCTTTGCATTCTTTTGTTTACTAGTCATTCGTTCTCTCTTCTTGAAATCTATCTCAGTCTGTTCCTTCCTATCTATCTATCTATCTATCTATCTATCTATCTATCTGAGCAGCAACCTTTCTTTTAAACATGTTTTTTTTTTTAATATGACAGACAAGAAAAATGTAATTAATTTTTTATTTAGCTTTTCCAGCATTCTTACGTTTTTTTTTTTCGTTTGTTGGGTGGAAGAGAGTGCAAAAAATGTCCGTATTGCCCATTGTCCCAAGCGATATCGGACTCTTCTTGAGTAGACATCTCACATGGCAATTATCATAAAAAAACATCTAGCTACCAAAGATTTACCTGATTTACTATCTATCTATCTATCTATCTATCTATCTATCTATCTATGGCATCAAATGACAAGTGGAAAAAAATCTTACATTTGGCCGACGCGTTTCGTCTTCCGACTTTTTCAAGGCAAAAATAAAATCGAAATGTTTTTGTTGTTATAGTTACATTAAAAATCCAAATTTAAAAAGATAGACGCTTGTGTCTAAGCCTTTTTTTTGTAAGATTTTTTTCCACTTGTCATTTGATGCCAATCTGTCTTGTCCACAGAATTCATCTGGGAATCTATCTATCTATCTATCTATCTAAGCTAATTTACATTAAATAGCGAATATCGGCCTACCTTGATCCACTCGTCCCCGGCGGGCAATGGCAAACGCCAGTTATAATGTCACATGTTCCTCCGTTGTTACAATAACAAGTATGTTGACAGTTTTGACCGTAATGGTTAGGTGGACAGGGTAGAGAACAGATGTCTCCCTGAAGATAAGAATAAAATGAAGTAAACGATTAATGATGAATGACAAGGAAAATAGAAAGAAAATGAGTAAACGGATTAAAAAGAAATTGAAAGAAGCTGTGTAATTATCAATAAAGACTATTGTATTCTTTTTAAGACCACAATGATGTCAAAATAAAAGAGTAAATAAAAATATATCCTAAAATGTATATTTGTCGCTAATTTGGCTAGGACAGAAGAAAACCAACAGATTTTATGACAGAAAATAGATACAGTCTATTTTCCGTTTTTACGATTTAAATGAAAACCCGTCAAGAAATTTTGTTCGATATATTTTGTCATTTCCGGGAATCTCTTATTTAAAGCATGCATCATTTTGTTTCTTGAAACGAGTTCAAGGCTTCTCAGTCAGTCATATGTCTTTGAGCATTTCCTGCATTGACAAGAATTCTTAGCTTTAATCATCTATAATATATCTGTTGCTATTGAGACGCAAATTAAGTCGTCCTCAAGATTTTCCACACTTCCAACACGTGAATAAGAAACTGGTATTAATAGAAATGAAGGAGTAAGAGAATTAAATACAGGAAAAGAAGAAACAATTAAAATAATCCAGAAACAAGGAAAATGCTAAAAATAAGAAATGAAAAAGAAAAAGAAGAAAAAGAAAAAGAAGAAAAAGAAAAAGAAGAAAAAGAAAAAGAAGAAAAAGTAAATTTGGGGAAGAGATGAAAAATGAAGCATATACAAGAGAAGGAGAGATTAAAGAAAAATGTGAGAAGATTATATTATCAAAAGGCGAAGAAAAGAAGCGCAAAGGAAAAAAAACAGTAGGAAGAAAGGAAAAAAGAAAGGTATTAGAATAAAATGTAGGATAAAATGTGGAAAGTATTTAGATGAGACTCCATAATGAGATATTCGGAGCCATTTTGTAAACAGGACAAGAAGATGGCCGAGAGATTTGGATCAATGAACGAGGAAAGTAAAAATCTTGTGTTTCTCTGTAGACGATGTTGATGGAAATAATTCATTATGAGTGAGAATTGTAGAAACAGTTTTCAAGGGACTTGAGGTTTACAAAACTATACTATAATAAAAGATTGGTTATAACAGTAAAAAAATTGCAGAAAAAATTAAACAAGTAAATAAATTTGGTATCACAAAACAATAAAATGAGAATCGTCCAGAAATGGAAAAAATACAACAACGGAATTGACATTTCAAGAGAAAGTCAATATTTGCATTGCAAATAGAATGGTAGGGACAGGATTGCGAAATGATCATTTAAAGGAGGAAGCTGTATTATAGCAGTCCAAAAAATTTCTATGAAATCCAATAATATTAAGCCCAAAATAGGAAGAACTTAGTAAAATAATAAATGTAGATTATGCAGGGAGAGATGATAGCGCCAATTAGTGAATGGAAATAGACATAATTGAGAGGAAAGTTAATTTACTGGGAATTTTGTAAAAAAATTGGAGTTGATCATCAAAACTAATAGTATATGCACAATTCAGATTCTCTGTGAAGGAATATAAAAAATAAAATTCTATGGGATGCTGTATTTTAAAGTTGGATCTTGTCAATGTAGCAGACATGAGAATGGAAATGCATCGAATATACATGGAATATACGAGAGAACCGAAATTACTTGTGGGAAATTAAGTTGTCTCATCATTAGTGATGCATTTGAAATGGTAATGATGAGTAGTTTGTAAAGTAAAAAGTAAAGGAATGAAAATTCGACGATAAATCAAACCCAATCAGCTGACAAAATCTTCTAGAAGGAGAGTATTGGAGTACTACTGTGAGGAAACTATTGGCGTCTTTAGGAGATCTACTGTCATTTGTTCTTTAGAGAAAATTACCATATAGTACTAATACGAAAAGTCAATGAATAGCAATAATAATAATAATAATAATAATAATAATAATGATAATAATAATAATAATAATAATAATAATAATCTGCAAATAAGTCTTACCATCCATCCTCGAGGACACTCACATAAGCCAGTTTCTGGGTGACATGTACCACCGTTATGACATTGACATGGAGAAGAACAGTCTTCGCCATCAACAAGACATACTTGATCACACCTGTAAGGATAAATTATATATATATATATATATATATATATATATATATATATATATATATATATATATATATATATATATATATATATAGGATTAATACAAACAAAATTTTCCACTGAGTGATGATATATTCAACACCTCTATTTCAGAGTTTCGTAGATGAAACTTTTGTAAGTATTCGGTCCACTCCACTCGTCAGGAGGTATCAGCAAATGCTTCAATTTTCTTGTTTTCGTTATTTTTATATTAAGTTAAAAAATAATTTATGCTTTTTTCTTGGTCTTATGTAGAATTGTCTTCTTTGTGCGTGTATGCGTATGTGTGTGCGTGTATGCGTATGTGTGTGCGTGTATGCCTATGTGTGTGCGTGTATGCGTATGTGTGTGCGTGTAAATGTGGTTATTCCTTCTTCTCATAATTTTCTTGTCTCCTTATAGTCTCTCACTATTCCTTTTCTTTCTTTCGACTCTGAGTGTTAAAAGATGCTGTAGCAATATTATATCCGATGTCAGAGGCGACTTATACTTAGGTTTAGGTTCTGGAATATTCTGGAGTTTCCTACAAGTTTTGAAAATATATTTGAAATGCATTTTTTTTAAATTAATTTATTTATTTATTGTTTAAATATCTATGTTTTTATTTGCTGATTTTTATTTTTATTTTTTTAAATTAATTCTTAAATGGCAAAGGAGATATTTGTTTATATGTCATGACTTGCCCATTATTGTTTTTCTTATTTAGTAGTTAATGGCCTCTTTTTCCTGGCTTGTTGTTATATTATTAGAATGTTAATTATGAAAGGTTAGGTTAGTAACTGTATTTTTATTGTTGCTTGAATATATACACATGCATACATGCGCTACGCATGCACACGTATACGCAGACACTAACACACACACATAGAGACATATATATATATATATATATATATATATATATATATATATATATATTATAAATTAATTGATTTAAAATATGTTTTTTTTCGCTACACAGTTCTAACCATGTTTCAAAAATGGAAGCTAAAAGCCACGAATTTAATTTTGTGATTAAATTAAAGACATTAGTTTCATTTCATCCTCAAGCGAATTTTGGAGTAACTTTTTAAAATTACTGGGTTTTAAATACACAGCTAAAACAAAATTCATGTTTCCAAGGTTACAGATAAATCTATTTTTCTAGACAGGGGTAGCTGGGTTTTCAATATGTCTATAATTTAATGTATCAGTTATTGCTACGTTTGGGTCGTGGGAAGGGATGTATTTTTCAATGAAATCTAACTTCCGTTAATGCCTGTCGTCTAGATTTTTTAAAATCATATTGTTAACGGCTAAAATTCTTACGGCCTTTTGTTTTTTTTTGTTTTGTTATTTTTCCGTATATTTAAAGTATATTATGATTTTTTAAAATTTTATATTTAAATATTTCTAAAGTAAAATTTTTCATTACTCCGATTTAGTAGACTTTATTTATTCATTTAATTACAAATTAAAAGAAGTTTAGGTTAGAATTCATTTTAATTAACTACAATTTTAATTACAACTTTAAAATATTTTCATTATAGCCTATATTTCAATTAATAGAAGTAAAATGTTACTTACCATCAGTAAAATTATTTTTCTATATCAAGTATATTTATATTACGATTTTTAAAATTTTTTTTATATTTAAATATTTTTTAAGTAAAATTTTTTTTTATCTTTACGGCAAAAATAGCTACCTCATTTCTCTATTTTAGTAAACTTTATTTATTTATTTAATTACAATTTAAAAGAAGTTTAGTTTAGAATTCATTGTAATTAACTACAATTTTAATTACAACTTTAAAATATTTTCATTATTAGTTTTTTTAGACTATATTTCATTTACAATGTATCCGAGTTCTTTACCGTCAGTAAAATTATTTTTCTATATCAAGTATATTTATATTACGATTTTTTAATAAATTTTATATCTAAATATTTTTTAAGTAAATTTTTTTTTTATCCTTTACGGCAAAATAGCTACTTCATTACTCTAATTTAGTAAACTTTATTTATTTATTTAAAAATACATCCCTTCCCACGACCCAAACGTAGCAATAACTGATACATTAAATTATAGACATATTGAAAACCCAGCCACCCCTGTCTAGAAAAATAGATTTATCTGTAACCTTGGAAACATGAATTTTGTTTTAGCTGTGTATTTAAAATTAAAAAGTTACTCCAAAATTCGCTTGAGGATGAAATGGAACTAATGTCTTTAATTTAATCACAAAATTAAATTCGTGACTTTTAGCTTCCATTTTTGAAACATGGTTAGAACTGTGTAGCGAAAAAAAAAACACATTTTAAATCAATTAATTTATAATATTAATGCTCTGTAAATTTACATTGAGCACTATTTTGTAAAAATAAAAATATCTATAAGAACACCGGATAATATATCTTGCTGTTCTTTCTTTCTATCTATCTATCTATCTATCTATCTATCTATCTATCTATATATATATATATATATATATATATACTTACATCTACATATTCAGAAGCTGGGCATATAACATTCGTCTACTAGGGCGGCTACCCAATCCCTATTGCAGATGCTCCCTCAGGCACATTTGTGTTTGTTCAACACCTACAGAGCCCAACTGAAGACCTTAGTTAAGTTTATATATATATATATATATATATATATATATATATATATATATATGATTGCTGAAATATCAAAGGAAATATTTATTTATCTATTAAACAGAATTGACAAAAAACAGATTTTGTAGGTTGGTTTCCTCTACGTTTGCAAAACGTTGGCTACGTCATCTGGTATATTGTTACTTAAGCATAGGTGCTCGAGTTTTTGTTTGTGTCCATCCATCAAAGCACGTTCCAGGGCTGTACATCTGTTTGTTGCATGTTGTTGCAGGGAATTTAATAAGATTTGCAATGTACGTTATGCATGTTCAATGGGATTTAAATGTGGTGAGGAAACATGGCGAGCATAAAGAAATTGAAATATTCTGCAATACGATCTGTGTATGGTACACCTGTAAAGACAGATTACTTTTTCAGTAGTGTCCATTGTGAACCCCAGTAGCATAAACTCTGCACCATTACAGATTTATCGCCATCTTGCACAACATTCTGCTGAAGGGTTGGATACATAGCTTCACGCGGTTTCCTCCATTCACAAACTCGATCTTCTCCCTGAAGAGCTAGAAAAGTGTTATCGTCGATAAGAGTCAGTCTTGTCCGAATGGAGTCTACCAGTACTGTTGCAGCAGTGGAGAAATCAAGATGCCTTCCTCTCCTAAATACCTTTGCGTGTCGTGGTTTCAGCAGACACAAGCCACCACATAGGTTGCTAACCGACCTCTTAACTTTATTTTGATTTCCCTATCACTCTCTCTTCCTCCACATAAAGCGAATAAAAAGAAACCCGAAGAAAAATTGTCTATCGTTGATTCAGCCTATGATGCAGCGTGTATATTGTTACTTAGGAATTGCAGATAAACTACTACAATCCAGAGATGACACACAACCTAACGCTACATTTGGATTTCATATATTCCTGTTATTTGTTATTTGCTCGAGAACCTACAGAAACATGTAGGATCTCATGCCAGTCTTGCATGAAAGTACAAACATGAAAAAGAAGTACATTTAAACAAAAACGAATCACAAGATAAACAACGAACTTATCTCGTAATAAAAGTTCTTTTCCACTAGTGTTTCTTATATCTACTTCTTTGCTTTTCTCTTTTTCCTTTGCTATTTCGTTTTATAAGCGTCTCCTTTTGAGGTCTTTTCTTATTTCCTCTCTTTCTCTTTTCGTCCTGTCTAGGGGCTTGGCCGACGATTAATTTGAAACTGCTTTCCTTCTTTCGTTCGTCTCGGTATAGCAGTTTGAGGTGGTCTTTTCTTACTTTCTTACTTTTCCATTTCGTCCCTTGTTTAGGGGCTTGGATGACGATTAAGTTGAAACTGCCATCTTTCCCTCTCTCCTTCATCTCGGTGTGGCAGCATTCTCCTTTGAGATCTTTTCTTCCTTTCTTTCCTTTGCCCATAAGTATCTCCCTTTGAGATCTTTTCTTGCTTTCTTCTTTTCTTTTTCTATCAGCGACTGGTCTAGGGACTTGGGTGATAGACAAATCGAAGCTGTCTTCTATCTCTCCTTCGTCCCGATGTGGCGGCATTCCGCATACGTCGTAGTTTATTTCCCAAAATTCAACGTTTCTTTTGCGTTCCACGCGTTTGCGTTCGGTCGTCTGTTCGAGCTTCGAAGATGGACTTTTCTTTTTCTTCATAGCCAACCAAAACTTTTGCTTTCATAGCAAACGGGTCCAGCTATTCCATTCGAAGATGGATTCTCTTTCTCGTATTTTCGCAAACACATCCGTTCGGCCCTTAGGCCTGGACAAAACTATTGTATTTTTCGCAAACACGCCCGTCCAGTCCTAAGGCCTGGGCAAGACTGACTTTTTTCGTTTCTCTATTCGTTTCCTTTTTTTCTTGTCACGTGGTCAATTTTCAAAAACGAACTTTTTCCCACTGTGGCTGAAATGAGGTAATTGACCCCCTCTCTCATCTGCAGGGTCAGAGAAAGTTTAGTTTAAAATGTTTCAACTTTTCCTATCTGGAATCTATACGTGTAAATCATGCTGTCAACACGTTGACCAAAAGAGAAAGGAAAGGTACATTCTGGTTAATCTTTGTCACCACTAAATCTACCCATCTCTTTGGGCTTACTATCTTTACGTTTCTGCAAGTACTGGGCTGTTTAATTTAGAATGCTTCTAAAATATAAGCAATGGTATATTTTTATAATAAATTTAGATGGGTGTTCGTAACAATACATATATATATATATATATATATATATATATATATATATATATATATATATATATATATATTAAATAGGTCTGTTATTTATAAATATATATATATATATATATATATATATATATATAAATAAAAGAAAGAACTGTGTAGCGAAAATAACCATATTTTAAATCAATTAATTTATAATATATATATATATATATATATATATATATATATATATATATATTAAATAGTTCTGTTATTTAACATTGAGCATTGTTTTTCTTACACTATAGGGGTATATATATGTATTTGTATACGAACGCCTGTTCTTACATTTGCCTATATTTATACATTTGATTGTATATATATATATATATATAGGGAACATACATTTATTCAAATATGTTTTATTGAATAATATAGACATATAGAGATATTGTATCTACTTATTTTTATACTGATCCTTTCCAGTTGTCTAAACAGTTTCTTGATGTTAAGACGAAATTCATCAAGGAGTGTGTGCGTGATTGTGTGTGTGTATGTGTGTGTCTACTTACAAGGAACCCTTGAATCCTGCGCGACACTGACATGCTCCATTCACTGGATCACATGTGGCTCCATTTTTACATCGACACACTGACTGACAATTTGTTCCGTAAGTTCCCTCAGGACATGACGATTGACATTTGCCTCCAGTCCAACCTATACGAAATCAAAAAGAGGCAAAAAGGAATATAGAAATCAAAAGCTGGACATTTTTGGGGAAAAAACCGTTTTGTGCAAAAATTAAATTTTGATAATAGGCTTCTTAATTTGATGTCGAAATATATTATAAACTAGATTTGGTTTTACTAATCTGATCTCATTTTGGGGATTAAGCTAAGTTCCAAGTGAGAATATAATTAAGTATTTCGGGCAAGATTTTTTTTTCATCCCAGCTTCCACACAACGACAAGCTAAATCTATATTTCTGAATTTATGATTCAGTTTATTTATAAAAATCATTTTAAAATTCACTATGACCGTTGATTTATTTGGAAATGCTTTTATCAGTAATTTAGCTCAGTATTTATTTTATCTAATTTTTTAGTTGTTTGTTATAGCAACTTTATTCTGGTCATCAATCTATAGTGATAATATAAGAAATAATGATTAACAGTGCTTCAATTAATAATAATAATAATAATAATCTTCTGATTTTAACTGATTGCAGGTTTTATTATGCACATGTTTGTCTTGGTGAATCAAGATGAACTACAACTAAATATTCCGTTCAATACTACAGAATTGCTTGTCAGTTGCATAGCCATAATAAGTTGGTCTATCGTATTGTGTACCTGTTGTCATGAGCGGAATTAGTGACCACTATGCTTGTATGTCGAGAGGGTTGTTGTTTTTAAGTTTGAAGTATGAGGCAGTGAAAGTGACTTGGGAACATCCACAATCAGAGACCTCAGCAGACTGGATTATTCGACCTGAAGGTAATTTCTAACTAGGTACCACCTGAAAGTTTATACTCTGCTTCTATCAAAACCTGTCAGAATTTTGTCCAATTTGTCTGTAATGCATCTACCTGGTATATAACCTTATCAGGCTGAGTGTCATGATGGTTACATTCGGCTTCGTATATTTGTATACTGCGTCACTTTATTGGTATGTTGCTCTTAAACACAGTAATAATACTTCTCGTGTATAAACAAAAACAAAGATGACACTGGGAGTAGGAGAGAGAAAGAGATCGTGGAATGCAATAATAAGTTATAGATTAGATTTAGTTTTCTGCAAAGCCGTCAAGTACTCGTAGCAGTTAATGTTACTAAATGTTCAGCAGGCTTCCCGAAAGCATATCATTTATTTACGATCCGTTTTATCACATCTTATATCAAATTGCGGCAATGAGAAATCAGCTTATGTTTGCTCATTGGCGTAAATTGATGACATAAGATGCGATAAAACATAACTGAATTCAAGTTGGAACAAGTGACATACTGAACATTCTTCATTTTCTGTCAGGCAATATGTCATCTAGCCATTGGCAATTGACAAGGCATAATAACCTACTTAGGTTTTCTCTCAGTTCTTGGTTGGCAAGAACAAGTTAACTAATAAATTACCTAAAATCATATGCCATCAGTATTTCAATATTTAATATGTAAAAAGTAATCTCGGTCTATATTTCTGAGATGAAGTATTGTAATTATTTACACTATTTACATTGTCCGGACTGTTGACTTATCTTGCCATATTTACGATGTTTTGACCGTTGTACGCTCCGGTCTTCTTCAGATGATTGGAATTTCGAAGCAAACCTTTTATTTAATCTACCGGTATAAATTTTCTAGTTCCACGTGCCATGCCTCTTCCAGATATCTCAGTTTCAGTTATCTCCTTTTAACCTCAACTCTTCAAGTTTTTGTTGCTGTAAGCATGTATTGAACTCACAACTATTTGGTTAAAGTCACTGGATTCAATCAACGCTTTTATCTACTGAACCATGTTAAAGTAAAGAATAGTAAATAATGATTTTTAAAATGGAATCACAGCACAGTTTTCAGAAGGTAACTATTCAGCGTCAAAATAGACATGAAAGGCTTTTGGATTGAGTTTGTCTCTCCGAGATATTCTTATTGTTTTACTATAATACTGTTAATTATTTTGATAAAGATGAAAGTATTGTCGAGTAGATTAGGTTTTGTTTTAGTTTCGAGGTAATAAATAAAATCTCTACCGTTCGCAAAAGTCTATCTCCCACCATAGATGCACGCGACAAACATTTTTTGATTTTGACAAAAAGGAATTAGACAACTTATTAATCTGTAAATATATTCATAATAAAGAAAAGTTTTTGCAAGTAAAAAGGTGATAAATTCAAGAAGGAAGTAAAATTTGTCACTGATGGCAATTTCCCGAGTTTAATTGTTAATACCCTGACATTTAATATGAAAACGAACACAATATAAACTAAGTATACAGGTATACACGGACGTGCCAAAGGTCATAGAAGCGCAGTATATAACGATAATGATAGGTAGCGCTACCGTACCATGAAGATCAGGGAAATGTCCAAACCGTTGTAGATCTGTGAAAACACCGGATAGTTTACATGTGGCAACCGGGCGTAAATTGATAGTTCGAAAGTAACATGATAGCCGGTACCAGACAGTTGGAGCATTTCATTTCTAAAACAGTTGGGAAACTTGACATGCCTCGAACTACGGTATCACGTGTGTGCAGAGAATACCTGAAGAAAGGCATTACCTGGGCAAGGCAATGGTCGAGTAAGGCTCATTACTGATAGTGACAAGAAGTACTCGACTAGAATTTTCTGTGGTAATAGACAAGCCACACTGACTCAAATCATATCCATATACAATGCAGGTGAAACTAAACGCATATCGAGCTGATTAGTTTAGCGTTCTTTACCTTCCATTAGATATGGGTGTAGAAAATCCACTAGGTTGAGTCTTGGTAACGTCATTACTCCAGACATAGCACCACACTTGTGCTCGTGACGTCGGTAATTGAACTCCAGAGAAGTGACAATATGTTTTGTGCTTCAATGAGTCATGGTTTCAAATTCTTTGAACTGATGGTAGGATTCGGGTGTGGCAAATGTCAACAATGTTCCGTGCTAATGGTAGTAATTGTATAGTAGTTTTGATTGTATTCACACCCCATGGATTGGGTCTGCCTAAACCTGACGGCGCTTCGTGACTATTTGCACCTTTAAATGAACTCCATGTGCACCAAGAACATTGGATTATTCCAGCAGGATAAAGGACCACATCATCGGGTCCAAGTTGCCCAAAATTGGTTTCAGGAACATTCAGGAGATTTTCGATATTTATGGGACGTGCTAGAGAGATCTATTCACAATCAAGACCTAAATTTATGAAGAAACTATAGATAACTATCGAGACTGTAATGATCAACAACACTGTAGAGACCTTCTGCTTCCTTGTGGAATCGATGCTATGAGCTGTTGCATTTCACTCGGCTAGAAAAGCTCGATAAAAGATACCTATTGTATGATTTTGGTACGTTGATGTAAATAGAAATTTATTGAACCTTTGTTTGCTTAGTATACTCCCATCAAGAAATTATCAGTATTTTTTAATGAGGACAGATATTATTACGTTGAATTTCACGTAATTTATTTATCAACCTGAAAATTCTACGAGCACAGATTGATCAATACCAATTTTATTGTAAGAAAAAATAAAGAATTGAAAAATAGATTCTGCATCGCTTAGCATTGCAGATTCCACTTATCGAATTCTTTGTAAAATCTGATTATTATTTTAAAAAATTCTCTATATAAATAATAAATGTGGCACCAATTATGAAAACTAAATCATTAATGAACGTATGACAGGAATCGGGGTGTATCATTAGATTACGATACAAGCCAGGTAAACACTTACCTAATATAATGACACATGCCAACTCCTGTCATACGTTTCATTAATGCATTAATGTTTTAGTTTTCATAATTGGTGCCACCTTTATTCGTATTTGTGTATGTGTTTGTGTGTCTGCATGCACGTGGGTGTTTGTGTGTCTACATGCACGTGTGTGTGTGTGTGTGTGTGTGTGTGTGTGTGTGTGTGTGTGTGTGTGTGTGTGTGTGTGTGTGTGTCACTCACCTGGTACGCACTGACAAATCCCAGAAATCGGGTCACAAGTACCATGTCCGTTACAGTCACATTTCTCAACACAGTTGATTCCCCAAGTGCCTGGAGAACAATCTGAAAAATAAACCATCATTAAAAAAAATGAATTTACATCCTAATATCAATGATCCGTTTCTATTCTTTTCGATGATGAAAGTAACAGGAAAATTTTCTTTACAATCAAAAGATTTAACTAGAAATTCAGAAGCTGTAGACTCTTTGTAACGATCTGAAACTTTCAGACGAATAAAGAAAAAAACTAAGCGAATTATAATGCAAAACGAATTTAAATTGGAAATGTTTTCTTTGTATATAAATGCAGTCTTCCTATTTTTTTGTTACAAATGTACTTTTCAATGTTTAATATCGTAAAATGTATAGTTAAGTCAATGATGATGCAGAACGATCCCTGTGAATAAAATTTAAAATTATTTTGTACAATAACATAGACAATAACATAGATGATAAAATATATTAATCTCAAAAAGTCAAATGACCATGAAGTGTTTTATGATGTTTGATAGAGAGAATTACATAGATTGGCAATTATTAAGACTGATAGATTAATTGCTAGACAGTGACTTGCAAAGAGACAAAATTTTAGTAGATAAACATAGAAAAGGAAACAAACATCGTTAGATTTTTTTCTTTGCCTTATATTCTGTTTTACAAAAGATAATGAGTTTATTTGAACATTTATCTATAAACAAAAATCAAAATGTATTTTCTTTTGCTATCCTCTGCCAGTCACAATGATGGAGAAATCATTACCTCGCACTATCGCCAGTCAAACACGCTACAAGAGCCACTCTATTTCGCGAGGCTCGTCCCTTAATCGAAACGCATTGTCCCCAACACTCCGTAGGAACGCTATCGGAACGAGGGCCAATACCCCCAGAAATTTCCACTGACACTGGAGTAAAAACAAATCTGTCCGCAAGAGAAGAATATTGAACTATTTTTTTAATCTCCGCGTCCCGAGCGACAGAATCCTCAACTGCGGGGATTTGACTAAATTACCGGTCGAAAATCTATCGGCACAGGTCGCATCCCAAATCAACGATTTCTACTCTTTAAAAGGGAAAATGGTAATCCCCTCCGGCCGCTTTCCCTCACCATGATCGAGGCCTACGTGATTTGGGAAGGGAATCCAGCTGCATCCAGACCTCTTCTGATGATGTCGTTTATTGCTGCATGTCTTGGAAAGCAGTTGACATTACGGCGACAGGAGAGACGATGCAAACCAAACTCATCAACGGAAGCTCTACATCTGCATCTGTGACACTCACATAATTTGAGCCCAAGACTGATCCCTCATCATCCAGAAAGGTACCGGAAGATGAGGAGGACACTGCATTGAGGCAAGCATCACTACTCGGTCGTGTAGCAGATAGTAGACAGGCGAGGCGGTGCTGATCTAGGCAGAGCCTTAAATTAGTAAAATTGGTCTTGCATTTTATTTTATCCCAGTTTTTCTGATTTGATATGTCTTGTGGGATGGAAAGTAATTCTTGGGTCCAGACGCTGCATGCTTGTTCGAAAGATCTACCCGAGAAAACATTGAAACGATCCACCGAGTATCTCACCAATTAATTGACGACTGGAAGAAAGTGAAGAAAGATATGTTGGAAGGGCCAAGTCTGCCGCTGATCGAAGGCCCAGGCATCCGAAACACAAAGGAAGCTTCGACTGCCTCCAGCCTGCGTCGTCGAAACTAACGTTGCAGATTAACTCCGCGCAAATTATGACAAATGGAAAATAACTTCTGCTTGTGGAACTGTGAGAAGAACATAGAACTAATGGTAAGAATAGTTGAGGAAAACTTTATAGGGACACAATGGACTAAATTGATGAAAACAAAAGTGGATAAAATTACTTACGTGAAGCGCAGGTGTGTCCTCTCCATCCTGGATGACAGTGGCAGACATTTGGAGCCAGGCAAATGCCGTTGTTACAGCCATATTGACATATTGCTGTCGTAGAAAAATCATAAAATTAAATTTTTAGATTGATTCATTGGGAAAAGATTGTTTTTACAATATTTATCGAATAGGGAAAAATTGCTTTTCCCTCTTTTAAATTATAATTGCATCAGAACACACATCCATACATACATGATACATACATGATGACTAAAGGAGTATAGGGGAGTATGAATTTGACAATTGTCAATTCGTTAAAGGAGTATGACCATCACTGATATATTTGATCTATTTTTTTTAGTTCTCGTGAGAACAACAATGGCTCTTGAAGTCAGCAAGTGAATGACAATGCTTATTACAGACGTGACAAACTAAATAGTTTTGTACAGGACATTTTCTATCGTCTACTTAAAGGAAATAAATTTAGAATAAAAATAAAATTTTGGTGGCTGACTTATCTTCCTATTATCAAATGGATCCATTTGATCCGTGTTTGAAAATTTTAATTAAATAAAAAAATAATGTCCATTCTAAATAGGTGCCATTTCTTTTTCTAAAGTTGATAATGAAAGTGATAATGTTAGCATTAATTATTTAGAATCGGATGATAATATGAATGATGACAACAAAACTAAGAGAAATGATTCTTCAAATCAAGGATGAATGAAAAGAATTATTCGAAGGATAAATCTGAAATTTGGTTTTCTAAACCAACTGAACAAGTTCATCCTACAAAGTTTTATCTCAAAAGCTTTTTTCAAGAAGATCTTGTGATTTACCCTTTCATCATTTATATTGTTCATCAAGTTAAATCTCATAGAAATAATCCAAAAATGGACAAATACACAAGGAATTTGCGTCTCACAGGTATTGATATAACTACAAACTCTAGTGAGCAATACACGACTCAGGAAGCAACCAATGAAAAAAAGAAAAGAGATGAACCTTGTGTTGTCCGAAAATGGATGGAAAAACGCAAAGGGTCTGTCATATTAGACAAAAAAATCATTGCCTATAAAAGCCATTTGGAAATATTCTGTGTGAAATGCAGCAATGAAATGTAATTTGAATTAAGTTTATAATTTCAAATTAAATGCAAAGATGTATTGTAATTTTTCTGTTTCAGTGAATAAACTTTGATTAAAATTGTTATTTCTTTCTTTTCTTATTTCTTAGAATTATGCATACCTAACATCATCAAAAAAATGCAAAAAGTTCGAATAGTTAAAAAAAAAAAATAGAAATGGGTCTATTGGACCCAAGTGATATTTAGTCAGTTTTCTTGGTAGACGAAGGGTTAATGATTTCCCTTTTCTTAACTTCATACTTGACATTTGTCCATTTCATTGCATCTTAGTGTCTTCATGAAGTGTACGTTTCCACTTATTACAACCAAAAGCAGCAGGTTTCGACCCAGTGTCTTCTATATTGCAATCGAAAAGAGACTCTTGTAAACAGTCCTTTAAGAGCTTCATTGGTTTATGCTGAGATTGAGTAATGTAGAACAAATCTCTGTAGAGCATTTGCTTGGTTTATTATGCTGTCTTCAAGAAGAATGACATAGCCTGCCCAATGAAACCTGCGGTGATGAATATGCGTTTCCATAATGATTGCATTGGATTTTTCGACGATCACCGTGTCTGGCATGAGGGATATCTACTAGATACAAGGAATCGACCTTAAACAGCGTTGGTGGAATATCTCTAGAGCGCCTAAGTGTCGGTGATACACAATATATGTCTCATAGGAGTATAGCAGGAATGTTAGCACACAGGTATTATAGACTGCCATCTTTGTGCACTTAAATCCTCTCTGAGACCAGACTCATTTTTAGAGCTGCAAAAGCATCAGTTGCCTTCTTCATACGAACAGATATTTTATCACCAAGAATATAATCTGTTAATAGTGCTCTTAGGGTATATGAATATGTCTACCACAGATTGTAGCCATCCACAAATATTGAGGGTTTGATGTTAAGTGAGCCCGGAACAGATTGTAACATGACACCTGCCTTGTTCAGGCTGATAATAAGGCTGAAATTTTTGGAGGAACAGAAAATATTATCCATGAAAGCCTGCATTTCCTGTTATGTTTGGGTGACCAAGTCGCAATCATTAGTATACAGAAGGTCTGGTCTTGTACAAGAGTCTGTCGTGATTTAACAGAGAAATGTTGGATGAAGTTTACCAGTTGTACCTTTGATCGCAGTCCTGAAAGGCTTGGCAACGATAAAAGAGGGGAGTCAATGTAGGTGCTGACAGGTAATCTTGCTTCGTACCTTCATGGTGGTCTGAAATAATGTTAATAGATATGTCCATGTTGTCATGAAACGACTGGATTATATCTACGAAATGGCGAGGACAGCCGAGCCATCTTAAAATCATCCGCATAGGTTATCTGTTGACAGTGGTGAAAGATTTGGTAAAACCTGAAACATACATTGTTGCTCATACGACCTGGATTTGTTGCTCTGTCGTTCCCCTATTAGGATGGAAGGCACATTGTCAGGACATTAAGATCCCTAATGTGAACTTTCATTCGAGTCAGCAAAATCCCCACTAGGATTTCATCCGCTGCTGAAAATAAAGCTATGCATTGCTAATGTCCACACAACTTCCTTATAATGCCATTTTCATTTTTACAATCTCTGGTTAGCTCCCTTATATTGTGAACATTTGTTAAAAAAAATAAACATACCATAGCTACAACGGTTAACATTGAAATAATTATAACAGGGCACTTTCACGCTTGTTTACAAAAATCACCATCATAACGATTAGATTTACATTAAGTTTGTCTTCGCAATTCACCACTGAGGATGATCTTGGAGGAGATCGAAAGTACTTGGGTTAACAAAAAAATTCGGCTGGTTCCTTAGTTAATTTCAATTTAACATCAAGAAGATAATTAGATAATTAAAAGGGTTATTATAAAATAGACATAATATATCCATATTATTCAATGAAACATGCTTAAACAAAGATATTCTGCCTAAATACACACAAACATACATACACACACACACGCACACACACACACACGCACACATATATACATATATGGTGATTTCTCCATCTCCACAGATGATTACCGTGTCACTGAAGATATATATAACTATATATATATATATATATATATATATATATATATATATATATATATATATATATTAATTCATTGATGATTGTTTTAACTATATATATATGTATCCATTAATGATTGTTTTAACTACATTAAATAATTTAATATTAATGTAATATATTTAATACGCTAAGGACCTACGAAAAGTTTTAAGAAAAATGTGCGAATTTGCATTTAAGGAAGATCAAATTAGATTTCTAAAAATAACATTAAAAAGGAAAAAATATTTTTAGTGATATTTATTTGTCTTAGTAAATATCTTGTCAAAACATAGAGAAAAATATGTAAGACAAGGCAAATCGATAAAATTAGAGACATTTTAATCAGTATCACCTTATAAATTTACAGTCTTATAATTTTTTATGACAAACATACAATGCTACAAATATCAGGCTATTAAAGCCGCTATTTGCTGCTAGTAGACGTTTTGTGGGTTTCCATCTTATCTGTGAATTGTTGAAAATCTGGCTGATATTTTGTCAAGGCTGTACGTATTAGCTCCGTCAGATGTTGGTTTGTAAGGATTACACGATGCTTCAACGAACTCATTTGTAGACTGAGATTTATGGATCATCTTTAGACTGAGGTTCTCCTGTAATTCCATTAGTTCCATTTTCACAGCAGATGATTTCGTAACCAGGGGTTCGGAAATTGGACATCCATCATTGACCACATCAACCATGAATGAATTTACAAGAGAGGCGAAGGAAATTATCAAGCAGCCCTTGTAATTTATCTTTGTATTTTTCCAGTTTGTGGTATTTTATTTCAATATCGGGGAATGTATTTACTCTTCTATTGAGATTAGTAGAGTGACTGAAGTTTCTTAACAAACAATATGTATCTTTGAAAAAAATATATTGAAAGGAGAAAATTGTCTGAGTAGATGATTCATCAGGGACATTAGATCTTGTATCCATTCATCATTTTCCAGTTGAGGATAGGAATTTTTTTCTTAAAAAAGTAATAATAGGCTTCATCAGACCCACATAAGTGCAATTAATTCTACATTTCTCCCACCAATGCAGGTGTTGCGTCTGTAACAACACTGACGAGTTTATTCAGTGGAACATCAGCATTTGTTATGGTTTTGTCAAGCACATTTTTAATGTCAACACCACGAATTTTTTCATTTAATGCCACTAAGTCTAATAATTTTATTTCACAGTTACATCAGAGGAAACATAAATTATGCCAGTTGTGGGTTGTCTTGTGCGTTTGTTGATTCATTAAGAGCTAAGCGGGATGCAAGAGAATTTTAAAAATCATTTTGAATTTTGCCTGAAACATCAACACTTATCTGAGAGATACGACTCTCTGTAGTGTAGAGATATTTGTTCTATTAGTCGCTGAAGTTTTGTGTTATTTGGATCCAACACTGAAACAACTTCAGCTATATTATCCTTGACAAATTCGCCATCAGAATATGGGCGTTTAGCAGGAACAATATTCCATGACATAAAACTAACTTCAGTCGTTTTCTTACTGAACGTTGTCAACAGACGCTGTTGGCTATTTAGTAATGATTTTAACACAGTTGACTTTTTTCATTCAGTCTGATTTAATTGGAGAATCATACGAAAAGTTTTTTGTGATATGTTTTATAGTGGCGTTTCAAGTTTCTGTCTTTGTAATGACTGAGTGACTCATGTCAGATAAGGCACAAAGCTTTATCTACTTTTAATGGCAGATGCATAATTCCCCTACCCCCACTCTAAAATAAAATTTCTGTTTCATCTTCATATTTTCATTTCTTACAATTTGTGGAGGTCATCTTCCTTCACAAAATTTTCACATACACTTTTAAACAAAACTTATATCTGAAGTGTACCAACAAGGTATGCACAGTTCAATGTTTTATGTTATACTGCATTAATGTGCATGATGTGAGCGTAGTCCTCTTAATCTCCTTACACATGACCGTAGTCTTCTAACATCAACGCTGTAACCCCCTGCTGTCTGGAAATTTCATTTATCCCTCTGTCTTCCAACATTCATTCCCTCAGCACTAAAGAACAATGATTCACGCAGATCTAGCATTAAAATTTAAATTTTTAAATATTTTTTACTAATCATGAACATTGAACTTACGTTTTATTCCAATGGGGCAAGTAAATAATTATAACTCTTGAAATTTTTCTTATTTACCTTTTATATTAACTGTGATGGAAAAATGGAGCTCAGCCAACATATTTCCACGAGGCGCATATTAAAAGTGAAAGAGCCGCATGTGGCTCGAGAGCCGCGTTTTATCACATTTGATATATAACATTAATAAAGGAATAATTGACGTTGTTCTTTATTTATGAGAAAGAGACGAGAAAAGAAAAGAAAATTATTGCAATTTTATTAATGGAAACTTTTCAATATGGTGTAAATAGGTATTTTATAAGAAAATCACACATCATTTTGACGTTTTGATGTATTTTAATATGTTTTTAAAAAAATAATTATTTAGCGTAAAACTAAATTTCCGACTCTAAAATTTAAAATATATGTGCAAAAACAACCTTTAAGAAGAAAAGAAATAAGGATTGGTATTAAATTTAGAAATGAATGAATATTCAAGACTACACAGTTCAAATTTGTGTTGATTACGTGTTTCTTATTGGAGAAATATATTTGTCAGCCTTTCTTTACTCAATCTAGCCTATGAACTCCCGCCCCCTCCCCTCGCCTGCAAAAGCGCATTAACACTAATATTGGGCAGCTTGATTTTTACTGTATCAACAATTACTTTCGACTGTTTGTTTGACAGATGCCAAGCTCAGTGTCATTATCACGTGACATGACAATATAATATCTTGATCATCCGATTCTTTCTACAGCACTTCATTATAAGATGTCACCCAAAAAATCCTACTCATCCTAATAATTTTGAAGGTCGCAAATGGATGAAAAGAGTTTGATTTTAGCAGATAATATGTCACGAAAATCATTTCTTACGACCGAAAAATGTTTCTTAACTTTTGATTGTAAAGTGTGGAACATTCATTTATTTCTCTCCTCCAAAAGTTTTAATTTGTTTCCAGTTTCCGTCTCAAAGATAAGGAAAGTGACAGCAAACATATATCAAATAAATAAAATTACATTATTATATTTGGCTCTCTCAGATAGAAAAACCGTAAGGTTCACTGGAATTAAAATAAAAAGAATAACAACTTACGGTGGCAACGGCCATCAACCTCTTCGTAATTCGCACAACATTTGGCTACTTTTTTGTAAGCTATAGAAGAGCGGACTTTCCTTCCTAGACGGTATTTTGTACTGTGAAAAAGAAAATGGTTATTGTATAGGAACAGGTTTTAGGCATTTTATTCATAGTTTCGAGCTTTGAGTTACTATAATTAACAAATTGTCAAGTTTGATGCAGTGATTGTTTGGTACATGGAATTAAAGGCCTGAAGTAAACAGATAGATAGATAGATAGATAGATAGATAGATAGATGGATTTATGATGATAGGTAGCTCGCTAGCTAGCTTGATAGATAGATATGAACAATATAAGATCTGAAAAAATTGCTAACTAGCTAGTTAGATATTAGCAATACTTGTGTGTGTATATATATATATATATATATATATATATATATATATATATATATAGAGAGAGAGAGAGAGAGAGAGAGAGAGAGAGAGATAAGAAGAGATATAACTAGATAGTAATGAAAATCAAAGAATTTAGTATTTTAAAACTGACATTATTTATTATTGATATAAACGTTATATTTAGGTGGTTTTATGTAGAATAAAAATGGAACACAAGTTCGATCTCTACCGAGAGTTTAATAAGAGTTTCGATTGCTCAAGTAATGTTTTACTTTATAAGAAAATAAGGGTGATTTACTCACACGTATGCCCACTAAATATAACGTTTATAGTAACGACAGGTAGATTGTAACAGAAACAAATAGATAGATAGATAGATAGATAGATAGATAGATAGAATGATAAGGACAGAATTAGGTAGATAGATAGATAGGAACAAAGTGATATAGACAGATATGTAATGAATCTTTTTGGATTTTGGGTTTCATAGATTTATAAATATAAAATAACAAATATTAATTATCTATATTTCTAGTTCAAGATTTATTTGAAAAAATCTCGTGAAAGAATCAATATAAAACTGTAAATTGTAACCTTTACAATTTAGAAGCAGAATAGTTATTTTGTCAGTGTTCGTCTAAAACCCTTAAGTATGATGCAACAAATGAGGTTTACACTTATTAAGAAAGAAATTTCTAATAGTTGCATCAGGACAATAGAAGTTGAAGAGCTTTGAAGAGTTTCAGAGCATGACAATAAGAAATGACAAAGGACTAAAGTACAAAATAGAAAAAAATAAAATTAGTAACATATTTAAATAGCTAAAAATGCTTTAAATATATTTCGTTTGCTTACATCCATTCTGTACATCGCGGCGGGAATGCCAGGCACCATGTATTCGTTTTCACTCTATAGGGTTCTTGGTAAGTTATCATTCGTGTTTTTGTTTCTCTGCAAGGAAAATATAGAAAGAAAAAGAATAAAGATTGTAAAACCACACTCTTTTATAAAATATAAAGACTGTAAATCATATAGATTTTCCATATTTTATAATATTTATTTTTCAGAAAAATGTGTGCAGCGAAATTTTAAACGTAATTGAGAATCTAAGTTAATATTTTGATAAAGTTACTAATAACAATTTGAAAACCCGCTAAAAACTATGCTAATCAAATTAGACTTACAAACCCCCTCCACCCCCCCAAAAAAACATTCGCTAGTGTAAAATGAGAGAAAACCAGTTCTCGTAATAATAAGAGTTGAAAAAGGAAGCTAATTTGGCATTACGTAAATACGCACAAAAACTGACACACATATACAGACAAATGCGTCACAAGTAAACTTTTTCCGCTTTTTCATAAATTTTCCCCATATATATATATATATATACACTGGTTAGCAGAGTCAAATTTCCCAAACAGCTCTTGTTAACTAGTGTATATATATATATATATATATATATATATATATATATATATATATATATATATATATATATATATATATATATATATATACTGGTTAGCAAAGTCAAATTACTGTTTTTAAACAACAAATTACCCAAACAGTAATTTGATATTGTTAACCAGAGGCTTCCTCGCACGTAAATATTAAAATACATATACGTTAAAAATTTTCAAGCCAATTGTGTTAAGGAAAGGTAAACTATGTAGGACGCGAAGTGATACATACGCACAGACACATACACACACACACACACACACACACACACATATATATATATATATATATATATATATATATATATATATATATATAAAGAAAGATTTGTTATTCTTTTATTAATTTCCATTTAGTGTGAACTTATTGTGATGATTAATAATAATAATGTTGGTTATAAACTCATCGTCTCAGAAATTATAAATGTTGCTATTATGATTGATTCATTATTGATACATTTTAAAAATATACGTTATTATCATCATCATCATCATTATTACCATTATTTACGATTATCATGGGTGACTGTAGTTAATTTTAATTAAATGACGTATTCTCTCTTAATCCATTAACCTTGACAAATAAGGAAAGTAAATAATCCGTGTATAAATCATTGCTTGATAATCCTTTTTAATACGCTTTAAACAGTGTAAGGTTTCATGTCAATGATATTGTTGTTATATGCGAGAAGGATTTCAGAAATCTGTAGCGTTAATGCCCAATGATTACGTATTACTACCCACCCCAAGTTGTTGTCTCTTAATTATTAACAACAGATACAAATGCCAATAAGTTTCCTTATATATACATATATATATATATATATATTTATATATATATATATATATGTGTGTGTGTGTGTGTGTGTGTGTGTGTGTGCTTGCGCACATGTGTGTATCACTTCGCGTCCTCCATAGTTTACCTTTCTTTACACAATTGGCTTGAAAATATTTTAGAGCGTTCTTCAATTTAAAATCTGAAAACTTAACGATATTTTCCTCCCTTAACTTTTGTTTATAAATACAAGATGCAAAATAAAATCTCTGCATTTACCATTGATAAAGTCCCCAGAAAATTTTAATCTAGTCTCTCTCTATCTCTCCTCTCTCTTTTTCTTCCTATCACTTTCTTTCTCTCTTTCTTTCTCTCCCTCTCTCAAAAACTAGAAGAGAGCTCTTCTAGCGATAAGTGTAGAAGAAACTATTAGCATAGAAATTACTCTTACAACTAGCAATTTCAACAGTGAAATTATGAGACCTAAATGCCAATCTAGTACTGCGCTTAAATTCGTAAAGTCGAACTACCAAAGAGGAAAGCCCAAATTGCCATGAAATTATTTATGGAAAAGGCACAGTGTTGCTATGGTACGGCGGTGGGGAATTAACTGAAGACGAGATGTCAGGTCAGGACCTATAACGTTGCATATTCTTTTTTGTATTTTATCAAGAATCTCTAGATATATAGCAGAGGCACTAGGCCATCTTGGGCAGCAATATGCGATGCACGGACGAATGGTAGACTTGTAAATAATAAAGGTAGATTTTGTCGGGAAAACTTTCTAGTAGGACATAATGAAACAATTTTCTTAAGCAACTGATTCAATATAAACGTCTCCCTTCAATGTCAGTGGAAAATATATCAAGAAGGGAGCCACGAGTTACTGTCATTCAGCCATGGCGATTGAAAACAAAATAGGTACATTAAGATTATTAAGGCAGCAATTTTGTTTTGGTGGCGTTAAAACGAACAAGCTGTTTCTTGTTCAAGTTAACAATAGATTGAAACTCATTTTCCACATCAATTGCCAACTTGATTTTATCGAAACTATCAGACGTACCATTAAGACAAGAGTACATGGCTGTGTTATCAGCAAAGCGAATGGGAAACTAATGATATAGGCAAAATCATTGATGAAAATAACGAACAAAGTAAATCCAAGAATAGAGACTTGGGCTACATCTACATTAATGTAAAAAGATACAGAAGGTAGGACAAGTTATATTACACAAATTGATACCAAAGAAATCAAAACATCAATCATTAGCCTACGTCTTAGCATACCATATCATATCTTCACATGTAAAGCAACAACTCAAGTTCCACCATTCTTATTTAAAACTTGACAGACTCTTACACACACTTACACACACACACACACACTTACACACACACATATATATATAAGATGGTTGACCTGAATTATCTTTTATACCCTTCAAGTCTTGGCCAGTTTCATAGTTCGTGGTTAATGAAACTAGCTAATTGGAATGTATTGCTTTAGAAATAAAATTGTATGAAGTGTTTTCTTATTTATTTACTATTTGATCTTTTGTGATTTTTATAAATAAGTGTTTGTTTTGTTGATGGCTTTTGTAATTTAATTAATTATTTACATACAACTATTTCTACTTTTAAACTAGTAAAGATCTTAGTATTTATATGACAACTTTGGTTTGCAATAACAAATAACAATATTTCCTACTATCCTTTTTATTACTATATTTTGAAAATATTACAAATCTAAAATGCTATTTCTTAAATGTTTTTAAAGTCTTTTTCATAAAAATAATCAGTTACTCGATTTATTCATGCCTTTTCTTATCTATTGGTGTTATTTAAAGAAAAAAAAATTCTTTTGAAGCGAATGAGACTCTTTTTATGTATAAAATGTTTTGAATGGAAAAAATATTTTTATTTAATGTTTGTGATTAAATATTTTTTCAGATGTTAAGTAAAAAAAAAAAAATAAACAAAATACGAAACTAAATATGGCTTAGAATCATTTTAGCTATTGATATAATTTCTTTTAAATACTTTTTAGTTTTCCGATATTCTATATTACGAAAAATAAATAAATAAAACAAAACTCGAAGAAATTTGTATATTTTGTTTTTTTATCTTTTTTAAAAAATCATTTCACCCCAAGCAAAGCACTAGAGTCACTAAGACGCAAGGAGTTACTGAGTGTTAGAGAATATGAAAAAAAAAAAAAAAAAAAAACTACTACTAAGGAGAGAGTACAATAAAAAGGCAAGAATTAAGAAGACAGAATATAATAATTGACATTGAATTAAAATTTTTGAAGATCAAAGTTGACTGGGAAGTAAGAAGACGGAAAAGAATTCTACAAGCAAGAAGTGCGACAGGAGAAACGGTTAAGTCTATCCATTTCAAATATGAACAGATGAGACCTTGCCGCTAAGCTAGAACTGCGCTTAAATTCATAAAGTCTAGGTACCATAGCGGAAAGTTCATCAGAAAGTATTTAAAGATAAAGCATAGGGAAGCTACAATACGGTGATGGGAAAGACATTGAAGTGGAGATGCCAGGTCAGGACCATTGACATTGCAGATTCTTCTTTGGATTTTATCAAGAATCTCTAAATATATATCAGGAGCACCAGACCAGATGTGGCAGCATTATTCAAAGCAAGTACCAATAGTAAAATTATAAATATCTAAGATAGATTCTGGTGAGAAAAATTGTCGAGCACAACACAGTGAACCGACTTTTTAGCTGCAGACTATTGATTCAATAAACTCTTTCCACTTCATTTTATGTCCTCATATAAATTACGATTTGCCTTTATTTGAAACATCTTATACATAGAAGATGGTTCTAATGAATTTACGCCAAATTTCGAAAGGCATGAAATGTTGGTTTCTAAATAAATTAATATAGACACAGACAGATTAGATTATTTAAATGTTTACAAAGTCATATAGTTATAAAGAGATAGATAATGAAAAGACTTCGAATACCACGATAGTCAGGTATAGATGAATAGAGAATTAGGTAGAGAGATACAGCCAAACACAAACAAATATAAATAAATCAAGGTTACTTGGTAGATACAAAAATAGTTTGAATATAGAAAAAGAGATAAGAGGATGGATTAGAAGATCAGAAAGATATGAGTAAAGTTTGATACATGTCCAAATCTAAGCTTAATCAACTACAGTATGACAAATTGTGAAACATCCAGTTAGGATTATACTTATTAATATTGGGAAACCGATGCGATGGCAATCAGGATTTGTTCTCATTGACGGATGAGTTATTTAGTCAGAAACTTTGCCTATCAATGGATCATTAAACAATAACAAGTGAATTCAAAGAAAAAAGACAGGAAACGAAATATAATAAAAATTAATATGTATATACTTACGTAAAAATCTTTTGACAAACATTTGGACCATTCATGTCCAGGTCGCCGCTGACTTCAGTAAAAAGCCACAGCAGGGTTATGAACCAAGGCAGGCCAGTCATGACGAGCGTTTGCAAAGAGAACAAAAAATCTGTAGTGGGAGAAAGTGTAAAGTACTGAGATATTATGGTCAGCTGACAAGAACGACATGTGGACAAATAATAAATGCATAAAAATCAACAAGAGGCGGGCGCCCCGCCGCCTACGTACACGCACACATAAGCACAGGCACATATATACAGAAGACACAAAACACATACAAGAAT